GAAAACGAACTTGTATTCCTTTTTTAACCGACTTCTTAATAAAAAGGAAGTTATCTGTTTGACTCGTAGGTATACGTATGTCTCGGACTTTTTAACTGAACTGAACCTATTTCAATGATATTTTCACTAAATTAATTTTTAAGTCATAGAAAACAGAATAGATTGGCATAGATTCACTACAGTGAATATATTTTCTAAAATGAGAAACTGATTTGTTTACATATTTACGATTCATTTATCACAAAGGGGTTATTTTTAGAGAAGTTTTCAATATTTTAGCAATTTATAAATGATAACTCATTAGCCATGCTTTTTAGAAAAAACCTAATTTGGCCTGTCCATTAACGTGTTAGGAAGACTAATTTATAACTATTTAGTACTAATATCCAGACTCGTTAAAAGAGAAACAAAAGTAACGGTATTTTTAAACTATTACTTTATTTTATACGATTATAGGAATAATATTTAATTATATTAGTTATTTATAATACATTTGTTATTTCAAATAATTTTGTATTATTTGAAACATGAACTCAGAAAGTATATAGGTATATAATGTTAGTAATGCCATTTAAAATACTTTACAACAAGACTAAATTTCAAAATCTATTAACCATACCTATAGTATATGAAATATAAATTGATTTTAATAACATAAACTCATGGCTAAAATTTCGTTTTTGCTTCTTTTATAAAATAAATTAATGCATCTTAACGTACTAAACAAGTAATAACGATCTACCATAATATATTTTTTATATTATATTCCTAGGCATGATTATTTTTGAGTCCCTCTTACAATTATTATAACCCTTCATCGAAAAAGGTCACATATTTTGAAATTAAAGCGTAAACCTTAAACATTTACTGAGCCGTGTTCAAGGCTTTTTAATAATACGGCTTTATACAATACACACTTGTATAGTACAGCTTAAACTGTTAACATATATAGGGTGTCTCTGAAAATGCCATACCTTTTTAAATTTAAACTTTTATGTTGATAGTAATTCGATTTTTCAACTCAACTTCAGTTTTGTTGAACTCGATTTTTACTAGAATTTGAATAAAAGTTAAAGGTTTTATTAGTTTATATTGTATTAAACTTGTAAAAGTGAAACGTCAGAAATTCCTATTTATATTCATGTAGGAGTCTTTGTTTTAGTAAGCAAAGTCTTCAGTAACTTTCTACACCGTTTGTTTTTAAATATTATTATAAAACCCTTTACTTATGACTCTACTCTTTAAATTGAATTCAAAATTATGTTGAAGATGAGTAAACACGTCATTGTAAATTCAAGTCCATCCAAATAAATACTGGGTTCAGGTTTTTTTTAAACTACAGCTGCTTTTTTATATTGTACCTATGTTTTATTCAATAATTAAAACTTAACTAATATTTAAAATAAAAAACCGTGCTAGGCACAACAATATAGCCTAACCGTAATGGTGTCTTATATTTAATATGCAATTTTTAATTCAGTTAAAGTGTTAATTTATTAAGGGATTAACATAATAAATTCATAATAATATTAAATCTGTATTTGTAGGTCTATGTATGATTTGATTGATTGCAATTAATTATTCGTGGGCGTTTCACGAAAGTTAACAATATTTCATGAAAACAGCCGCGTTGAGAGACTTGAAATTGTTTGTCGTCGAGTGTTATTATTTAGACATCACTTAAAGGAAAATAAGATACATTTTATCCTTTAGAGCTATATTTCCCATTAGGAAAGATAGGCGCACGTGCCTATGGAATCCAAATAAATGAGTTTTTCTCAATTACAAACTCTTTATAACAATTTTTTTTGTTTTACAAAATATTTTTAGAAAAAAATGTATTTACGTGATAAAACTAAAAAGAATATATTTTTAAGAAAATATTACTCAAAATATTCAAGTTACAGTTTTTCTTATTGTATACCTTGTTGTATAACAACACAATAAAAACAATACATTTTTTATGACTTAAAAATTGTGACTTTGATAGTCGGAACATAGGTACAATATTGTAATAACAACAATAATTTAAATTTATAAATAGGTAATAAGTATATTATTTATTTAATTGCAACCCGAAGGGATAAGTTACAGTATGCTATAAGCAGATTTGATAGTAAGAAGGCTGTTATCTAATAATAACAGGACTCATGCTCTGTTTATGGGGAGGAATGTCGGATAATTTCTAGAGTTATAGGAAGGAACAACTATATTATTAGGCAAAATAGAAAATAAATTAAAAAATTACACATGTTTTTTAATACACTTTCTTTAGTTGCTATGTGCTATTTATCAAAATCGAGGTCAAAACTGAAATGAGATAATATGTACGTTTATGGATCGGCTGTGATGGTAAAAATTTTTTTTAAAGATTTTAGGTGTTTTTGTTAAAATATACAAAATCTGCGAAACACAGTTTCCCGGCAATTAAAAAAAACTGTAGTGCCGAATTTTTTCCCGTTTAATATGTTATGGATACATATGAGTTCCAACTACTGGCAAATTTTCAACCCAAAAGTTTTAAAATTACGGCTAAAAACCCCGAAAAACAAAAAAACTTGTACCCCCCTAGGGGGGTGAGAAATGGGTATAGTTTAAATTTGACATAACTGACGTGTGCGGGCATACCAAATAGTTATTTCTTATACATTTCAACTCGATCCGACTCTTTTTCTCGAAATTATAGCCAGTAAAAGTTCTAACTTAAAAACTCGTACGGTTAGGTCCTTATCGAAACTAAAAAATCTGTTTTATTACTAGTGGTAGTAGTAATATAATAGTAAATGGGGAAATCAATTTTGGGGAGGTATTTTAAATATATGGGAAGGGGGCTTCAAACAAAATTTGCCTTATGGTTCAAAACGTCTTTATCATGGCCTATAAATCCTTAATGTTTTATCGAACATTTATTTTTTAATTTTAGCATGAAAAATTACAACATTATTAAAGCGACCAGACAGATCTTATTATTTATATACATGTTTGACATTTCACGCCTCATTAAGCATGAACCAATTTTACGTGAAACGTTTTGTAATCCTTAGCCTTAAATATAGTTTTAAATATATAACAGTATTTCGACTTAAACACCACATGAGTTATTAAATGTATTTAATGTAATGTCTTACTCGCGAACTTCTTAAGTACTAATATTATAAGTGCTTACCTAATATATGTACTGTTTTCATTTCTAATTTAAATACTCACTAGTAAAATTTAAAAAAAATCAATAAAAACATAATTTATCTAGATTTTTTTTATTTTAAAAAAACATATAACTTAGTTAAATAATTTTAACATATATTATTAATAAATTAACAGCCTTATTTTGCGCCTACGATGTTTCACTTTAACAGATTTTTGTATTGTAGTTCGTTTCGGTGAATTAAAAATACTTTCTTCCATTAATTCATTTATTATGAACTCTGTAGCCAATTTTTACCGAATTTTAGATTATCTCGTAATTCCAAAAGTTGTCGTAAAACACATATGACCTCGATATAGCATGCGTGGACTGAGTTGCGGTGGTCTTATCTTAACTTAAAGCATACATAAATTCCAAGACCTTGTTTTAGTCTATTTATGAATAACCGTCATTGACAAAATACAAATAAACTCTAGAATAAAGTAAATGAGTTGATTTTGAACACTTGCCTATAGATTTTTAAATTAGAAATATTTTGAAATATTGTTGAGATTCGTTATAACTGTATAAAGCTAGTTTATAAGCTAGTTTTAAACTAACTTATAAGTTAATAAAGGAATAGTTTCTCCACCTTATAATAGACCAAAATTTAAACAAAATATACCATTTCATCCCCAATAAAATCACGAATCGTCAAAACAGTAAAAATTAAAACAATACGCTATCACCAGATAAGATGAGCCACTTCGAAGCGCGATGTCTTGGGTAAGTGCCCGTTTGCTCTGCCCTCTGAACGGCACTGGTACTTTAGGCAAAAGTAGGTGCGGGTATTTTAAATAAAGACGGATGTATGTGAATAGTCAGAGAAATATAGATTATAATAGAGAGAGAAATTTAGCTGGTTGACTCAGGTAGTACGAGGAAGAACAAGAAGAGGAATAGAAACACTACATACATTTCTCAGTAAAATGTTAACATTCATCAGCTGCCGTCAGTGAAATCTATCTACTTGCTTAGATGCATATACAATAGGCGTCAAGTGTCTGTCGCATAAGTCATGACGTATGGTAGCGAAAATTAATATCAGGTATTCGAAACGCTCAAAAGGCTGATTTAGAATGACATTCAATTACAATTGACCTATTATTTCTTGTTTACGGTAAATTAAAGCTTTGAGCAAAACAATGTCAGTCGTCGCAGTCACGTACTTCTATTGAAATTAATACGCCCTTAAGGCAAACCCTCTTATGTATTACTCGAGTTCATTGTTGCTGTTAAAATTTTAATTTCAAAGTTTTTCTGCAATATATATATTTGTATAATTGTTTTAATATTACTACTTATATTTTTCAATGAATTTACACCCGTTTCCACCAATCATTTTGATACAATAATATAAGGATTCTAATACTTGTAAATGCTTTATAATACATATTAATGAAACAGGGCGTACGTTTTCTGTTTGTTGTATGTACTTGCGTGGAAATAATGGATTTTACAAAGCTTTGTCTACAATAAAATATTGTAGTATAAGCGAGTCTTTGGAGACATTCCTCATCTATCTGCTCTATTTTCTTATTTTTCTATAGACTATCTCAATTAAATGTCTGTAACCCTAAACTTATTTTCAAATTTAAGTACAAATATTTCATTTAATTTTCATTATGACTGTTTGATTAATTGTTTCTTGCGAACGAACTTGGTTAGTAAAATATTATTTAGCTCGTCAGGTATACTATTTGTACCTGAATGCACGTCTATACTATATTATAAAATAAAGTGTAAATAGCATATCGTTGTAAAATAATATAATATGTTATGCTTTTGTAATTATTCTTATTTATTTGTTTTACAGACAACATTAAGCAAATCGAATCTATTGTAGGAGAAAAGGCCGTACTGCCATGCCGTGTGCAAGATGGGAAAACAAATATAACGGATTGGCCGGTTCTCATCATCTGGTACAAGGGTGAAGATGTTCCAATTTATAGGTAAGCAAGTATACGGTTTACTATTTACGATTTACTACATAAAATAATAATTTTTAACCACCTCCATTGTTGTTGAATATGACTATTTATTTAGCTTTGTTAGTAGTCGAATTAATAACTAACAAGTAATATTATTTTGTGTCATTTATAAATTGTATTTAAAAACCCTATACTGAATTTATAAGTGTAACAGTGTTCATAATATACATCGTCAAAAAAATAAATAAAAAAACATAATTTTCGAAAAATAGTAAAATAGTGAACTAAAAAGTAAAAAATATTTTTACTACAAGAATAATTTACCAATCAATTGTAGCATACTTTTTTAAAATGTCAATTGCTTTGAAAACATCAGAAAATTAACTACAATTTTATATAATGTACATCTTTAATTTTTGACTAAAAATAAAAGTGTGGGCCCTATTCAACCAAGTCCAAACTCATTGAGTTAAGTATTATGAAATGTATGTGGGCCCGGCCCACGCTTTTCTTTATAGTCAAAAATTAAAGATGTTTAACGTTATTTAAAATTGTAGAAAATTTTAGGTTGTTTTTAAAGTAATCGACATTTTTAAAAAAATGTGCTACAATTGATTGGTAAATTATTCTTGTAGTAAAATTATTTTTTACTTTTTAGTTCACATTTTTACTATTTTTAGAAAGCGATTTTACATAATTTTTTTTTCAATAAATCTAATTGGAATATACTTCATACGAGAGGATCACAAAAAGGTGTGAGGTTGTAAACTAAATGAAGAAGAGTGACCAGATAAAAGGGGAAGTAAATACTTCAACTTGATAGTCGATTACCATTTGTGGGGAATAATAATGATGCTAATAATGTCTACAATGCCGGATGACTTTTATACTTTTAATTTTGCAATTTTAACATTACAGCGTGGATCATCGAGAACGATCAACGTCTAAACACTGGGCGAGCAAATCGATGATTGACAGGGTTTACTATACGATAAGCAAAGGTTGGGCCACGTTGACCATTGAGAGCGTCCAGCCATCGGACGGCGGTCAGTATAGGTGCCGAGAGGACTTCAAGTACTCTCCAACGCGCAACAACTATATACTGCTGAATATTATAGGTTTGCATTTGAATAAAAGTCTGAGGCTGTGAGTAAGTTTGTATTTGAATGACATTTTTTTTTGTCGACAGTTCCGCCTAATAGACTGGAAATCGTGAACGCAGACAATCGCATTGTTTGGAATTCCACGATGCCACCAATCCTAGAAAACGACCCGTTGGAAATAACATGCATAGCATACGATGGTATGTTTGTAACCGTATATATTGTTTCACAACTATTTCCGATAGCTACACGGTTGACTATAACATTAGTCGCATAGCGCCAAAACAGCGCAACCCAATTGGCTTTATCTTGAAATAATGTATTTGTGGGTTAAGCTGTTCGACATTCGTCTGTTCGCCAGTATAATCAACGTGTACAAAATAATACAACTAGGTGCCATTTGTATGGCCGGTAGACATATGGCCAAATCTGGCATTTTTTATTTTTATTTGTACTCATCTAGTGCTCGTGAACCGATTGTTTTATATCGATTAGTATCTCGGATGTACTTTCCAAACATTATAACTGAATTTCACTGTTCAATTAACAAACAGTCCGTTTTTACGGTTGGTGAAGCTGTTGACAGCTTTTAATCGAACAAAATTGTATGAAAGACTCAATTATTGGGATTTTTGTGACAGGGCATAAACGTATTTCATTCGTAAACCAAACATGAATTTAAACACGAATGGGGTTTAAACACGAATTAGGTTAGGTGCGTCCTATAGATTTATGGTGTTTATTATAAACTCGCGATAATTAATCAAACAAAAAACGATAACAACTTGGTTTGTATATGTGCAGTACGTCATAGCTCATAAGTTTAAAACTACAAAATCACTCTTATTCAAATTGTTTTAATGATTTTCTGAGTAGATATTGTAAGCAAACTGAGTACAATGTTCGAATTTCCTTTTATCTTAATGATATCCATTATTTCTTTCATTTATAAATTTCAAGATTCATACCAAATCAAATTTTCATGAAGTTCTTTAGTTTTAAAAATTTAAGTAGAGCGAAAAAAGTACTTTAACTTTCAGACCACTAATATCCTTTTATATGTTGTATATACTTAATATATAATTTCGAGATATTGTGTTCATAGATAACTGTATCAAAGATTAAAAATATAAAGATATTGAGCTGGGATTATTATTAAACATCAATAATTTAGAATTAAAAAGAAAAAGATTTTATTATGTACAAAATTAAACAAGAACAATTTTTACTGAAATATATATATATTTGTGGAAGCAATGTGTAATATGAATAGTGAAAATGATTTGTTTTAAATATTAAGTACCTAATAAAACGTACCTTAATAGTTTTAAATATCGCCATTAGTAGACAATTTAAACAGAATAGATTTAAATGGTCTGAGTATGTTGAAAGAAGGGATTGAAATTAAATAATATTGAATCGACCAAGTTAGATTATATGTGGGAGAGTTTAGATGGAAAGGTAGTAGACCGAAGAAAACAAGAAAGGAGGCAAATTATAAATGCTGTTAATAAAAGGATGTATACGTGTGGAGTAGATAAACAAATAATAACGAGAAATAAAATGTTGGAGAGAGTATGAGAAAGTTTAAGAGGAGGAACAAAATTTGAAAACACTTACAAGTTATGAAGTATGAATACATTTATTATCTTATAATTTTGGATTTATACTACCAAATAAATTTAATTTTAAAAGCGAAGATAAGCAAAGATATTTTGTCCTTAATAGTTTTTAAATGCCAATCTATATTTTAGTATGATATGTAGTTTGAGTAAATAACTTCCGTTTACAGTTTTTCTTAATATAGTTTATATTATAATTATTATTATTTAATAGTATTAAAAAAATGATTATAGTTGATTGATGTTTTTTTATCAAAACCCACGTTTTGTAAATTCTGTTAAGCTACATTATTCGTCAATTATTCATAATTTTATTTGTATTTGTTAAGTACCACAGAGTTTATACAACCAATTTAACGCTAGGGGGTAAATATCAAAAGTATACATTAAGTGAAAAGAAAATAAACAGGTACGAATATCAATTATCATGAACTTGAAGAATATAGAAACACCTGGACCTTAAAGTTTTCTCATGTAAATATAATTAAATAAATTTGTTGAAAAGGATATCGAAAGAAAACTAAGTAAAAAAATCACATTTATTTTAATGGTTTTTAAATAAATCAAAATTTTAATAATTCAATATTTTAAGACGATGTGATTATTAAATATTATATAATATAAAAGGGTTTTTTTTTAATTGCGTAAATCATTTTACCCACCTTTTTAATAGGTATAGTTTCTTTATTATTTTTTTTTTGTATGTCTGACCGCTAACCTATTTTTTCAAAAATACAATAAATCGAATTCTAAGTTTGTATGAAATACTTTTAGACATGGTATAAACAATGAACGCTGACAAACCCGAAAAATATCGAAACCCCTTTCTCCCAGAAGGGTAAACACTTTTTCTATATTTCGATTTTTTAGGTGTAGGTTTTGAGCTTAAGGTCTTAAAATTAAACGGAAGGTAGATAAAAAGCGAAGCTATATTACACGTTTTTCTTAAAAATCTGAAGTCAAAATAAACATAAAAATTATGTTAGGCCGTAGTACATTTTTAGGTTGCTATGTAAAAGTGAATTAACAGTTATCTAAGAAAAAATTGCACGTATGTTGTTTATTATGATACATGGGAAACAACGGCAACAAATTATTATTAAGAGAATGCCCCTCCATCCATTTCTAAGGAGTAAGTATATGAAATTATTTACAAAATCTTAATTTAGAACTTGAACTATAGTGTATAGTTATCAATACAGTAATGAGGATTCTTTATTGATTATCATTTTTCTTGTCAGACTATCACAGTAATTTATGTGGGATAAATTTTATATACAATTTTAGGATAAAAAACAATCTACGAATGAATAACAGATTGTGTTTAAGTGACAAAAAAAAAACGCTGCAACACAGGTAAAGTTCTTCTCTGTGTACAATTCTTCTCTTTTTGCAATTCTATAATGAGTACAACCCTAAAAACTTTCTACCCCGCACAACGATTTTTGTATACGGGTGGTGTGGCGTCATCTCTCTACTATTGTACCTTCTTAATACTAAAAAAACATATTAAGCACGTTACTTTTATTACATCGCTTGTGTACAGTTTTTGTATTTCTACCATCTACAGATTTACACTGAAGTGTTTTTATGAAAGTGATTTTATCACTTTCTGTTATATTAATTCCTAAAGAACTGTAACCTTCGTGATCATTCTGCCTCGACCACACTTTACCGGTTTTTTTAACTTGTATGAATCATCTGGCATTTAAACTAAGTAATATTATACAATTATATTTCTCTCTTAAACATAATATTGAACAAACCGTGAACGAGAATTATTATAAAATAATTTTATACTGAGACATTGCCGCTGCGTAACAGCGTGTGTTGCCACATGTTGAAAACCCAAATTTATGATGTCATTTAACACTAGTGTTCTATAAACATTAATAACAAGAGTTCAACAATTACTTTCCTACATGATTTATACATTATTTTAAGATATATTATTAACAAATACTTTAGTAACTAATTTTATGTGGTTTTTATTATATATCACACTACATGTTTAGAATCGAGGACTGATTAATTGTGGTTATGATAAAAACCATATACACATATTTCCTGATATAGCTGTAAAAATGTTTATATTTCGTACCAAATTTTAAAACAAATAATAATTAAAAGTGTGCATCATTAAAAAGTAATTTTTGAACTTAAAAAAAATACCTTTTTATTGTTCAAGTATTCAAATTGCGTAGCTCTGTTGTGAAGCTTATTTTTTAAATTGCAACTCGAAAAATATGACGACTGATATATTCATCGATATTAATAAAAATAGTTCACGTGTACCATGGAAGCTTAAGACCAAATACAAATAATAAACAATTTTAGAAAAAGACATCTTAATGATTATTTAAAACAAAATATATATTGTATACTAAAGCCTTTGTAAATGCTCTATTTTTTTATAATTACTCCACTAGTCCTTAGTAAAACTAAAATATTTATGTCAAAGAATCTCTTTCTATACAAAATAATTCTAATAAGCAAAAAAATAATGTATATTCGAATTAAGTTCATTATAAAAGATCAACGGCTTGCCGTTTTGCATAACCGATAGCGTTTAGTCTCTGTTTCTTTAATGTATAAAATGTATTTATTTAATCCCTTTTTCCGGAGAACACACAATTATTTTTGATAGACAACTACAAATGCATTTGTTTATCTCGTGTATAATATATATCGTATTGAACGAGTTAATTAGGAGAGCTATCATGATGATGTCAACAATATAAACCGGATGATACTAAACGTTGTGTTGTAATAGTTAACCAAAAGTTAACATTATATGCCTTGGCAGATAACATGACACGGGATAAAATTAAACATTGACTATATTATATTAGATTAGTTCACAGCAAATAGAATAATGATTTACGCTTTATTAGAAAACTATAATACAACAATAACAAATGGCTGCACTTTGGTAATTAAAAAATACCAACTCTACCTAAATAGTTTAAACCTCTAAATATAAATATAATAATTATATCTTTTAAAAACAACAATAAAAAATTAATTTATTTTGTCGGAAGTACTTTTAATATTTTATTAAATATAGTATGATTAATTAGTATTTTATATCTAAGCTTTAACTTGGATGTCACTGGATAAAATTTGTTTTAGCTAATGTCAAACAATTACATTTAAATATTATGTGATCCTAGTGACGTGGTTATAGGATTTGTTTAACGTCTCGGTGTAATACTCGTAAATACAATATATTTTGGTGGTGTCGGACAAAAGTTTCTAGGTTTGGCCGAAAATCAGCAAAATAGGTATTTACATATAATTGCTTTTTAAATAAGTAAAAAATTTAAGTCACAGCTTGTTTCAACTCGAGTCACTATAGAGACCACAATATTTATAACTGATGTATACATTTATTAAATGATAAAAAACTCAATCGACCTACTTTCTAGTTTCTCGTGCTAAATCAACTTCATCGTTTACATAAATTTACGAAATTCACGCCCGCAAAGTTGTTTTTATGAAAAGATGGGTGCAATATTTATGTTGTGTACTATCATTGTCGATAAAATATGTTTAACACGCCACTATGTGACTCGATTGTCATTGTAGGTAATCGGTTCGTTAATGTTTATAGAATATTAATCAGATAACAGTGTTGAAATAATCCATCTAAACAATTAAATATCTTTACCTTACGTATAGCCATTGTTTTTTTAACACTTTTTAAATGTTTTGAAGTATGTATTTAATTTTTTTTTAACTCAAAAACAAGGTTTAGCATACAATTTGAACAAAAGCGAGAAATAATTGTGTATTAAGTTAGCATTAAAAAAGCTAGATTGTCAGTTATTTACAAATGTATAAGTTTAATTAAGCTTAAAAAAATTGTATAAATTCAGTCTTCTTTCTTTCTTCTAGGCTTTTACAGGCCTTTAAGGCCAATCGCTGCAACTACATGTTGTCTCCTCCCCTCTCTATCTCTTGCACATTCTTCTGCTTTCCTTACATTTAGTAGTTTTAAGTCTTCCTGTATTCTATCCACCCATCTCTGTCTAGGCCGTCCTCTAGGTCTCTTAGTGTTGGGTTTCCATTTAGTTATTAAACCAATTATTCCTTCAGACCTCCAAACGTGTCCTGCCTAGCTTATCCTCGTACTTTTTAGGGTTCCAATAATGGTAGGTTCTTTTTAAAGATTATCCAATTTCGTTGTTTCTTACTCTCCATCGTTATTTCTCTTTGGACCAAAGATTTTCCTTAATATCTTTCTTTCAAACACTTCTCACTTTTTTTCATCTGATTTTGTCGTGGCCCATGTACTACATGCATATAGAGTAATTGGTTTAACTATGACTTATAACGTAATTTTAGACTTTATGGATAGTAATCTTGATTTTAATAATGGCATTAGACTATAGTAGCATCGATTTGCTAATAAATTTAATCAAAAGGAATACATTCTATGTTGTTTTTTTGTTAATTTTTTTTTATTTAAAACTTGTCTTTGTTTAAGGTTAAAACAAAAACCATTAAGGTATTTCGAATATGGAGAACATTTTTAGTTTTATTTATTGTAAAATACTATTAGGAGAGCTTTTAATAATGTTTTGCGATTTCTGTTCCCAAAATTCTTTTCAATTTAGCTTGTTGACAGATTAATAAAATTATTTTTTTTATTATTAAATTTACACATTTTTTTTTGTGAAACCGACAATCTAATTATTTGCTCATACCTTTGGATTAGTTTAACAAAGATCATTTTTTTGTTTTAAGGTTATTTTAGTCTGTGTTAATTTTTAATATCATTCATACACGCTTAAACATTCTAAACAAAGTGACATGGTATTACCCCCGTCCATTGTGAGAAATGTTTGAAAAAATACGTGCTTTTTTAGAGGGTTTATTTGCATATATTAAGGTTCTTAATTTTAAGGCATTTAGTAGGTATTGCATTTTTTTCATTAATATATACGTTGTAAAAGTTTCCATCTAATTCCAATATAGTATATAATATTGTATTTGTATATCTACCTACAATTCAGTAATTATCTAAACAATACAAGACAAATACTACTACAATATGCAAACTGCTGAAGTATTTAAATTTACAAAACTATAAAAATTATTCCCTAAGCGACCATTATTGTTAGAATGCGTGTAAACTTTGTACCACTATACATACATTGCCATTAACATGCGCTGCGCCGCTAGTATAATAACTTGTTTCTCGTGCATAAAAAATAAATTTACAATAATTTTAGAAAGCATGTGGTTTTATTCATAACGAAAGCGTCTAAATCTACGAGCTACTCCTTACGCATTATCAGCCTTTATTATCGTTATTTTAATTTAAAAGCAGACATGCTTCGTTATTATTATTTTTTTATCTTATTCTGTTACAGGTTATAGCTATGCAAAACGTAGGCAAACAATATACGTTTTTATATCTAAGATTTCCAAATAAATTATAAAAAAAAAATGTTTTTACCTTTAAGCCTAACAAACAAGAACTGCTTTTTTTTAATTTGAGTTTATAATAGTTTTTAAAACTATTATAATAAAATATCTTACGATTGAAAAGTTTCTATATTTAAATGAAGTACATATTATAATATATCGTTACATATACCATTCGACTTTCAGAAATAAAGTACTTATTTGTATGTATTTTATATTTGTCTTATACTACTTAAAAAAAATAATCATAATAAATAGACAATTAATAATTAAACATATTTTGTATTGTATACGAATGTATTATAATCACCAAACGAAATCTCATTCAACAAGCTAAACGTTTTAAAGTAAAATTAAAGTCATTTGTATATGCCTGTTAATACAATATTAGGCAATGTTATTGTACACTAACTTTTTTTAATGGGATATTTTTAAAAAACATAATTAATTTAGTACTTTCATATTTAGAGCATCAATATTTCTACACACCAGACTTAATATTATATTAGTCTACAAGAAAAGAGAAGTTAAGCTGTATGTTATTATTCGCGTTAAACCCATACCTATTTCTAAGTTGGTTATATCAGTGGATTGATAGGGAAACATATCGAAACAATATTTTGCTACCCTTAAATATACAATAAGGTTTTTATGTTTTTGTCTTAAACTCCCTCGGACGATATACATCAAGTATTGTACTTAATAAATCATCATAAATTCATATTTTTTTTTAATTATGACAAAATAAAAAAAATTAGGGTATTGGTTTTTGTTATTTTTAATTTTTTTCAAATTAAACAATGTTTTGGCAGCTTAGGCCTTTTGTATTATTGACTTTCAATTATTAATAATAACATCTCTACATATTTTAATTCTATAATGCATATATTTTAAAGATGTCCCTATCAAAACAATAAAATTTACAACATGTTTATATCAATCGTAGATTATTTAATAATAATAAAAAAGTTTAAATTTCACAAGATCAGGGGTAGATAATACTTTAAACTGTTAGTCCTGTTAATTTTACAGTACCGTTTCTCTTTATATCCGCACTTAAGGACTATTGAGTCTGCGTCGATCCACTTTTAAATAACAATATTTATTTCTCTAGTAATTGCGCGCCTCCTAACAACGACACTAACACGGATATTTATTTCGTTGATTATTGTATCAATAGCCTTTCAGTTGTGTACACCGTGCTCAGACGACTGAAACTAAAATATCCGTTTATTAATTTGTTTAACTACATTTTGATCGACAACCACTTACGATAGTTCAAATGCCGTTTAAGCGATTACTGATGTGCAGGACTGCGCACCGTTGTATTAGTCGGCCCGTTTAAAATTGTTTGACCTACAATAGACAAGTAGTGTATAGTAATACATGGGAAATTATGCAACTATAGTCAATGCGTTTCCAGACCTTCAGATTGTTGGAGTAGAGCCATGAACGATATGAACTATAGTCCTTTGTCACCGCACTGACGTACATTTGATAGGCGATCACATTATTTGACCGATTCACCACTTATCGGTATTATTACCATAGTGTCTTAGTGTTCTTCGATTGATTTAATGGACTATGGCTAGGTTGTCTAAGTTATACAAAAGCCTCTACCGGACAGATGCGCACAATTAAAATTGTCAGCGCATTGAAACGTGGTTTAACGGGAAGGCGTTACCGCGTCGTAGTACATTATCACGAAATAGGTCTTATTTAATGATGATGAGATCTTCGGATTAACCGTCGCAGGGTGTCCGTGATTTACGGGCGGCACGTGTGGTGGCATAATTGGCTCTTTAACTAATTAAAACGTATCTATATAAAATGCTCCAGAAGATCCACGATAATGATTACATTGTTGGAAATAACACGGCGTAGTTAGCTTAAGCGATTAAGACAAAATCTAATCGTGCTCAAGCGAATCTAACATTTTGCAAAACACTTATTACTTTTTGTCGCGTTATTTTTTTCTCTTTAGTTACAGTAAATTACAGTAGAACTAATACGTTTAAAATAACCGTGATTTTTATATACTCAATGATAATACACACACGGTAAGTTTCGAATATGAAGTAAAAAGAAAAGTGCTATAAAAAGGAAATCTATTATATGATGAAAAATTTGAATGGTCAATCATCCAAATTTTGAAAGGACAATGAATACAGGGGCGTTTTCCGATATGTGCTAAATTATTGTAACAACAATTTTTTGAAGTCAAACAAAATAAAATCGAAAAGATCGGTAAATGATTTACGAACACCAAAATATGTACTATACCAGATTATTTATACATTGTGTGAGTCCCGAATCCCGATATCCGATGCCGGTTTTAAAAGTGATGTTAGTTATAGTTTTATATTATACACCTGCACAGCGCTCAGACAGTCTGTAACCTGCCGCGCTGATATGATTTGTAATTAATATGTATATGCCTTAATTAACTGTGTTATAATTACACAAAGAAGGAACATTACACCAAATCTCTAAACACGTATAATATTGATATTAAAAAAAATAAAAAAAAATAATATGTTGCGGTCAAAAATCATCCGTTGATTTATGCAATTTAACAATTGATTTGAAAATATTTAAGTACTACATGCTAATATTTTAGTAATTATACGTGGTACAAATGACAATAGTTATTGAAACACTGAAACCGTTTAGCCGGGTTAGGTCAATAAATATTGAGCATTTTTTATGAATAACTAAGAAAATATCTTAAACAAAACCAACTTAAGCAGCACAACATGTAGGGCCATCGTTAGATGGTTCCTGGCAAATTGTAATTTGTAACGTTGTGTGGTTTGTGTAGGGCATCCTTTGCCACGAGTGATGTGGAACATACGAGGAGACAACGAGGACACGGCGTACGGCACGAGAATAGGCGATACAGCTGTAGCTAATACTCTGAGAATCGCCCAAGTGCGCAGGGAGAACTTGGGCAAAACACTTATCTGCGAAGCGTCCAATATAGCCAACGCCGTCCAACTGTCCACTTCGGTCGTCATAAACGTTTACCGTGAGTATATAACCGCGATGAGATAACACAGTAAAAATAAAACTATAGTTTTTCTTCTTGGTAAATAATGTATTACAAACCCATAACTATGTCTGTTGAATACGCTCGGTGAATAATGAATGAGCCTACGACGATGGTTGTAATGAAAAACTTCAATTTTCTTTCTTGTAGACATAATTATAACCGTTCGATAAGTTCAAGCAGGCGTCTAAATCAATGGGATATTGTTTATGTATAGCGAGACTGACTTTCCTCCGCCTGTTTCATCGAACGCCCATACTTTTGTAATCGGACCGTACGACGACTAATGATTAGACGGACTTGAAAAAATATCTGATCATGAGAAAATACCTTGCTTAACAGTTTTTTTTTCGTTACACTAACCGGATACCGTGTCGGTAAAAATGTTATATGACGCATACAAGTAAAAATGCACCAACTTGATTAAATTAACATCAGCTTCGAAATATCACGGTATTTGTTAAATATAATATAGAAAATTATGTTACACAAACTGTATAGTTTTCTTCTTAATAATATCAGCTTTATACGTGACGGGAAAAATGAAATTTTGGACCGAGAAACGAACGGAGAAACTGCATGAATGCGTATGGCGGACGATAAAACAAGGGATAATAAATTACATAGGAAAACTCGACGTGCCAATCTTAGTGCGTTAGGAAATATAATAATAAGTATTCGGACATCAGTTCTTGTAAATATTATTTTGGGATTAAAAATAATAATATACAAATATGAGGTACACTATTTTTAGAAATCAACAAAAAAATTGGCTACTGTGTTTTGACCGAAACAATGATGTGCGGATTTGAAACTATTATAAAATAGGGCACAAAATACAAATTTTTTTTTTTGTCTTTTATATGAGCACTTTGGGGAAACGAAAATCCAAAATGATACTTGTATATACATAGTAATAATTTAAGCAGTGTACACCGATAATAGTATTATGTAGACAGATCTAATTTGTGTCATGGTGGGTCAAGTGTCTTACTAATAATTCGAGAACTTAAAAATTGTATATTATTCATTATTAAGAAATTGCTATCAAAACTTGGCCCGCCAATATAACAATCAAAACAATATAAAACAAATAACTTTTTCCCGAAATAGATAGGTATCGTGTACAAACAATATTTTAAACCGTTACAAGAAGCAAACCACATTATTTAACAACCTAGCGAGAAATAAAATATTCACCGTCTATTTATACTGTATAAAAAGCTTCTAAAAGCGGTCGAAAAATAAGCACCCACAGAGATATTGTAATGGCAACTCCACTGTTAAATGTAATGTATATACATTTAACATTACTGACACTAACCAAGTTTTCTAGAATACTGTTCCGTGCGGAAATCCGTATAAACACTGTAAAGAATATTGTTGCAGTATAAAAGTATTAAAAGTTATCAAAAAAAAGCTAAATTCTAAAGCTCCGGGATAAATAAATGGCCATGGTTCTACGAATAAATACTTATAAAAAAACACAGTATGTTAATAATTTTAAATAATAATAAATTTAACTTACAATAAAAAGATAATGATTTTTTTCTATGCCCTAAAATCTAAACTAATATGTTTTAATAAATATATATTATATAATAATAAGTTATAATAAATTAAGTGTATATTAATTGGATAAACCCTGATCGAATTGACTATACCCGTCATTAAATACAAATAATATACTGCTACGTAATTTATATAATATAGTAATAGTGTTTTAAAGTATGAGTTTGCAGTTGGCTATTGTAATGTGTATCAGTATATGTATAAGAAACTCTTATGAAGACATAACTTACATTAAAAAGCATTTATCTCGAGACTAATTTTCTTGAACACACGACGAAGAAACATCTGTTTGCTTATTCAACAAAATATGCTGCTAAAACAAAACACAAAACAGTTTAGCTGTCGCTCCGTTCCGAAAACTCTTAAGCTTAATTGCCTCTCCGGCGGCTTGTGTGTGTGTGTGTACTTTTATAAAAGTTTTAATCTGGTAGTTACGTATGATAGTAGCGGTTAAACAAATAACAAAATAAATGTCTGTCGGTTTTCTTGTGACTTGTAAAGACTGGCCAACGCTTGGCAAATAATATATATTTTAAAACAAATTAAAGAACTGTAGTTAGTGAAATATGCAGCTAGAATAATTTGGTTTTCAAAAGTAAATACATTATTAATTAATTACATATATGATACACTCCCTTTATTTTAATCTGAGGCAGTCCAACACTCATTTTCAATATTAAAACCCACAGTTGTATTTTGCCATAGCTACAAACTAGTTCAATAGCCCCACCCGTTACTTTTATCACATTTTTAATTAATGGAAATGTACCACACAGTCCTTACTGATTACAATGACAACTATATTTTTAATATTTCATAAAAATCTCGCTATCTTAATAATATTTATTTGCTTACAAATATTTATTAAATCGGCGAATCGGTACTTGGAGTATAATTTTTTTTTTTTTAATTTAACGTTCTAATAATGTGTATCAGACTTTTTTTTAAATCACAAGTCTAAGACGTTTTTGTAACACTCGCTTTAAGAGGCATTTTAATTTGAACGACAACGAAATTCCGAGTTTATTTATGCTACATCTTCATTACGAATAATTTGGATAGGTTAAATAGGTAAAAAAATATAGTACCTTTGAAAGAGTTGAATTTTTAAGTATTGTCCGTTAAAGGTAAATCTAATTCTCCTATTCTCATTTGTAATTCGGACAAAATTTGTATTTGATATAAAGTGTATTTTCGGATAAGAGATTTTTTTTTTCTGGTCGATTTGACTCGAAAATGATCGTATGATTTTGTGTAGTGAAACCGTTGACCGTAGCCATCACAGGAGCTGAACAACCTTTGACCTCGGGCGAATACAACAGTTTGGATTGTGTGTCGTACGGATCCAGGCCGCCTGCCAACATAACGTGGTACCACGACGGACGGGCAATTAACTTCGAGACGAAAAGGATAAAGGTAAGTACATCGCGCGTCCAAAATACAATTTGTCTAAGCCCTAATGGACGGGCGTGTAGGTAAAAATACAAAGAGGTTGATTGCGCAAGTTACGGGGTCGGTCTTGTATAAGTCGTTGTCCCAAGATTGTATACGTCACCGACCTTTCGAAAAGGGGATCAAAGTATATTCGGACCTTTAAAGGTCGGCGATGTTATACGGTAGTTCCTTTTGATTTTTTTTTCTATAATAAACTCTGTAGTATATAATATTATGTATATTAATGTGTTAGGCACACCATTAAGTCGATGTTATAGTAAACCGAATTCACTGACAAGACCGTGATTCATTTAACATTTTATCTGTTTTTATAAAGTTCACTTTAAATCAATGATCACTGAGCAGTATTTTACTTATTACATAGTTAATTAAAATACAATCTAAAATAATACCATTTAAATACATCGAGGAAATTATCATAAAAATATTCCCTAAAGTACAATAATCCATAGCTGTTAGAAAATCGACTCTAAGCCATTTTTTTAAACAAATCGGCTAAGTGCAAGTCATACTTGTGTAATTAGTGTTTCGTATCAGTTAACAAAAAAATATTAAAAGGGACCAGTCAATCACGCCAATTAATAACGGAAATAATAACAGCTTTTGTGATATCATCTACTCCGGCCACCTTCAGTTAAACTAGGCACTCATAAGTTTGCAAATACACTATAGAAATGTATATACTATACCAGATACTACAGCCCTTGATAAATTTTAATCAGATTACCATATAAAAAACAACATACGTTATAATTTATTCAGTTTCAAAGAATATTGAAGATATTAAAAAATCAGACTACAGCGCAATTTAAAAGAATAATTAATAATTTATTATTATTCATGCGTATCATTAATAATTTGCTACAGGTCATCGAAAACAGCAATATGACTTGGAGCTCTTTGAAAATTTTACCCGATGATAATGACGACCAAAGTGTTATTAGCTGCCAAGCCAGTAATACATATTTTCCAGCTCACACGCTTCATCACCAAATAACACTCGGCGTACAGCGTACGGTTTAATTCCGTTTTGTTTTTCGAATAAAATATTCAATTTAACGGGATCTCTTGATTGTATTTTTTTGTTAACAGATCCTCCAAGATTGCAAATAAATCTGGGAAGAAATTTGAACGCATCCAACATTAAAGAAGGGTCCGACGTATACTTCGAATGTGTGGTCAAAGCATCACCAGCTATAACAAAACTGGAGTGGAACCACAACGTACGTTCGTTGCACTATTTTTTTATTAATTAATTTATTAGTTTGTTTATTTTTCATTCACTGTTCTTTATGTTTTATGCATCTTATTTGTTATTACTATCAAATGTCCCTTCGACGCCATTTAAGTTTTTATGCGACGGATAAAAACCATTACGTTATAATGTTATATTATTTGGCGGTACATAACAAATATTATGGTCAATAATAATAAAAATAATAGTAATATGTACATTGACTTTTTGTGTTTTAATAGGACACCAATGTTGGACCTTACGGAAGCCGGAAGATTATTTATAGCAATCAGACCTTAGTGTTGCAGTCGATAACGCGGCAGGGATCGGGGCGCTATCGTTGCTTGGCTTCCAATGCCAGAGGAAAGACTGTCAGTGATGTTTATGTTCTCGACGTGAAATGTAAGTGGATGATGAATAATATAACATTTAATATTTCAATAATAGTATTGTTTAATCACACGAAGAAAACCTATAAAATCAATAAAATATGGTAAATGTATTCGGAATCTTTGCATCATTTCCAAATACTAATCATTTAGTTAAACAACCCGGGTTGTTGACAAATTATTTGAATAAAGTATTATTTGTAAACAGCTGTTAATTTGGACTGGAGCCTAACGTTATTTAAATAATTTGTTATAAGTAACACAGTCAAGTTCTCTTTTTATTAATATAATTTGTTTTCATAATTTATTTGAACACAAAATGAATCTAATGACATTTTGTTAACTCTGATTAGACTAGAATAAACGGTGCACCATTCGGGTTAAGCAACTTAATTTTAGTCTGGTAATTATTGTTGTTAGAAATAGTCAACTGTCGTATACGCACTTTGGTACACGAACCGTTAAACACACGCACACTGTAAATAATACCTTTTACCTAAACACTAAAGTGACTTTTTAGTAAGTGCGCATAAATGTGGCAGAGCTCTAGTCGCCTTCCGGGTTGTTTCCGCCTCGGGTGACTATCCGTCCAACGATCAAACCTCTGATTATAAATAGTATAATTCCTCAGGACAATTATATTGTCTAGCTTTATTACTATAATAAACAGGTTGGTAGCTTGAATGCAAGTACTGACACTAGCAAAGAAACAAGAGTCGTACTCTGGTTTCCTCGGGAGATGCGGTCTTTAACACAATACACTTAATATAAAAGAATATTTCGTTTCGAATTACCTTAAAATCAACGGGAGAAAAGGTAACATTTTTAAATTAAGTAAAAGAAAAGTAACTCAAAAGTTAATAAACACACACACAATTATAATATTCGTAAAAACAATGTAAAAACAATAATGCACGCGACAATACCCTCCTCGTAACAGAACGGTCGCTTACGGGAGAGTGAATCCGACAAAGTAATTTGGGCGGCCTTAAATACTAAACATTATTGAAATTTTTACTGAGTAGTCAATTTTGTATAGTTTTGTTTTGATTGTTTGGCCTACATTTAATTGCTTATTTGCTAAAATACATTGGTCTTTAAGAACTATACTACACAACCATGTAGGATTAATTTACTCGACATCTGTAGGTATGTATCGCTTAGAAATGTTTTATCTATGTAGTTCCATTTTTAAACATCTCTCCGTGAAAAATTGTCGAGATCCATTTGAATTGTGTCTACCGTAATCCAACTGTGATAATCTTTTTACTCCCAACATTTATACTCGGGCGTTGAACTCTGAGCTTTTGTTAGGATGGCAGTTGACAGATGTACTAGTGTCCAAGTTCATGAATAGGTAGTATTTCAGTTATCAAAATAATTGAGTACACACAAGAGTATAATGTATAATGCACTAACAACCAACCCGGTACACTTAATAAGGCTGTTATTGCCGGAAATAGAATAGAGAGTTTTAAAACGTCTCTGTTATCAGTCATGCACTACTACAACGCACAATGATAAATCTATTTTATGGTACGCAATTCAAAATCATATTATTTGAGAACATTTTTGAAGCGCAAATAATTTATTTTTAGATAGCTATCGTACAGTAAACTTTTAACGAAAATTCCCTCTAGTCTCAGTGCACGCGTTCAACATTTACAACTCAGTCTAATATTTAAAACAACTAGCCCAAATGTCTTATAGGACAGACATTATATTTAATGAACAAAAAATAAATAATTTCCGAATTAAAACGTAAGAGCTTTATATTTACATCTCACAAAATCCATTATAATATAACAATTTCGAAGAAGTTTTTTTTTTGAAAAGGATACCTCTTCTTAATACGTAAAAGGGCCTTTTTACGTCCGACTGACTTCACCGTTACGATTAAATAAATCGGTTTATAAAATTAAGCTGCTAATTTATAAGTAACAAAAACCCCCTCAGTAACAAAAAATCCTACTGTCCAGTTCGTCCACGATTCCCTGAATATTTGTCGCGTACAATAAGGTACTACCTAGTTGTGTTGTGTTATTGAATACAATATGTGTATGTGCACACATGGATCATTTTCCGGTGTATACATTTCTTCAGTTTTCCGTTGACGTTACGGACTCGTTGCGGAGTCAGAAAATGTAAACTGCAGATGCAGAAAAAGGCACAATCAAGGGAACATCGTGACATGTTATGACAAGGCAGAACACTTATACGATATCCATTGGTCCAGTAACACGATTGCAAGGACTAGGGACGTATAAAAAGCGTTAGGAATGAGCGAGTCAGTCAGTATCACTACAGTACAACAGTAACTCTCGATCTGAAGATGGACTCTGCAACGAGTCCGTAACGTCAACGGAAAACTGAAGTCATTGATACATGTGAAAATTATCCACACGTGTATACTCGTTGATTAAAGCATACCGGTATGATATGATAAAGCACACACGTGGGTACAAATTCACCCATGTGTCAAGTCCAAGTTAAATATAATTTATTTTATTGTTAGGATAAATTAATACCTACCGTCTTTTTCATCTCATTTGACACACAAAGGATTTGGCTATACTAATCCTTAACCTCGCCGTATCATCGTCCGTTTTGTCCATTCCATACAAGGCTACTAATAGTTTATTATAATTAGTTTTAAAGAAATTTAGTGTATTTTAACCAAAAAAATCTATCCGATTTTTTTTTTTGTAGACGAACCAGCTTGCAACAGTGACCAACAGCACGTGTACGGTGCACACAGAGGAGAAACCATACACATCAAATGTGATGTCAATAGCAATCCGGCGGCAACATCATTCCGTTGGGCTTTCAACAGTTCTGTGTCGGGATTAACCAGAGTGACTACTATAGATAAAGGATCACCCACGATCAAGTTCAGAGTTATCAATTTTGGCACGATGTTGTGCTGGGCCACCAACACACTGGCCACCCAATCGCATCCTTGCATGTTTCACGTTGTACCGGCAGGTAAGAGAAATTCGTTATAGATAAAAATTGAACCTGAAGTTAGAACCGTTAATTGTTTAAAACCAAATTATCAAACAAATAAACTAGAAGTAAAACATTTTTAAAAATATAACGCGTTACAGATTGAATAGTAATTAGCTATGTACATACTTAGATGTTGTAAATAAAATATGATGTAAGTTAGGTTAAGGGTCATTCAACCATTTCGTTCGATTTTCGGAAAAAAGTTTTATTTTTAATTATGTTTTCTCATAATTTTTTTCAAAATTGCTACAAGTAAGGAAACACGTTGATAGTATGTCCTATCAACAAAGGAATTATGGGTCATATATTTTCAATTGCTATAAACAATATTTTTGGCATATTACCGTATCGATTACTTTTACCCACTTTTTTTGACGCGAGAGCATTCAAAAGGAAAAAGTAATAAAAGTCTGTCATATTACATTTTTAATAACCTAAACAAAAAATTTAAGGTAAAATAAAATATTGAATTGATGCCAACAAAAAAACGATTTGTGGAGATGGATAAATAAATATTTTATTCATTAAATATAGCTAAAAATTTAAGTTTAAATTATTTAAATGAGTAGTATAATTAATAAACTAATTATAATGATGAGTAATGTTATATATTAAACAAAACAAACATACCTACCGTTGTGACAAAAATGTTTCATCTAATTTAGTTAAACAATAAACTTACGTACAAAATAGTTTGAGGTGATTGTTTTATTTTACATTTATTATAATTGTACGAGTTTTTATGGCTTTAGTTATAAAATACAAAAATGTTTTTATATAATAGAGATTAAGTTTTTTATTCAAAAGCAAAAATATATTTTAACATTTCCAAAATTATAGTTGTTGACAATTCACATAACATAACTGTCACCTAATACCACATTTAATAAACCTATAACTATTTATACAACATAACAATAAAATAGTTTTTAGTAATATATTAATTTACCTAACTTTTTATTTTTTTTTTACTTCATAAAAAATATCAGCTCAAATAACTATTTAATTTATCATACAAATGTATTAAATATAACACACGGCAATTATAAAAATATATATTAGGTGGAATTTAGTTTGACGAAAAAAACCGTGGCTATACACCAAATAAGAGCGAGTAATTTAGTGCCTAGCATTTTCCATTTTATTTAAAATGTTATAATAAAGGGTCACGTTTTTTTAATGTTTATTCAGCCGAAAAGTTAAAAACGCTCTCCTAAACCCGTTATGTTTCTTCGCTGTTTTTCGAGTTAACCCCTTTTAGTTTTATTTATTTATTTAGATAACTTTAGAATTTATAGACGCCAGTAAAAATAAATATAGAAAAGCCAACTCTAATTGACTTTTGGTCTTAAATGAAGACACTTTGAGAACTATAAAAATATATTATTGAATTAGTAATCCGGAAAATTAAAAATACGTCTTGATTTCTTCCCTATAAATTATTTAGACAAAATCCGTTTAACACCAACACCAATAGTGATATATATATATTTATGTCGGTGATTAAGTGAGTCATTTAATACACTTGTGGTGTAATAAAAGTACATTGACCATTGTTGACTTTGCTTCTGAATTTTTCCAGAAATAACTTTACCCTGTTTAAATATCTACACAGGAAATGTTTGTTCTCGATTCAGCTCTCCATATTATTGTCAGACTAACTGTATGGCGTATGATGTATGGTGTATCGTTAGTGTGACCAGACGTCCCGATTTTGGCGGGACAGTACCGATATTCAAGCAGGTGTCCCGCTAAATATGGTGATCAAATTGGGACAGTAAAATGTACCGACTTTTAATCGACGTCCCGCTTTTGTCCCGATTTCAAACAATAGTTATTTTTTTCTTATTTTCACTTATGGTGTGTATATTTTGTGTTCCATCAGATCACATCAGTTTATTTTGTACAGTTTCTATAATCTATACTGTGATATCACTTATTATCATAGAGACCTAGATATTGGTTTTTATCACGTTATGATCTGGACTCTCAATCGGCTATAGGTAACCACCGTTTTAGAAATGAAACCCAAGTGGTTACAACCATAGACCTATAAAAATTTCTTTATATATCTATGGTTACAACTGATAAAAAATCTCCTTTATTGCTCAAATCTATTGCATCAAATGATAAATACTAAGTATTAATCATTTTTTTGTCTGTATTAAATATTTTATAAATTTGTATTAAGTATATTTAAATTTGGTTTTTATCCTACTTTGATTATAATTATAAGTTTACTTGTTAAAATATTTAATACTTGTTTTTTAAAGTTACATTTTGTTTTTATAATTTTTTTGTTAAGTATATAATATACTTAATTTTATTAAGGTATTAATAAAATAAATATTTTATGTTCAATGAAAAATTGATTTAAATTTTGATTATGATTTTTTTTTTTTGCACTGTCTAATTTTAGCATGAAGAAATAAAGGTGTTCCCAAAACCAATTATTAAGAGAGATTAAATCCAACGAGTACTATTTTATGAGGAGGGATACCCCACTTCCTCTAGTTGCTTTTGAATACTTGTCCCGCTTTTATAGAATTTTGATCTGGTCACTTTATGTGTCGTGTATCGTGTATGATTTTAATTGTCTATGATGGTGGAATGATTATGTGCCCTTAGAACATTATTTTTAAGAAGCACTGTCAGTGTGTATGATGCCTGTTCCAAAAAGTTCATTATTATTGTGGCATAAGTGTTATTTCCCGTATAACCAAACGAAACAGACGTCGATATAATATCAATATCAATGGCGTATTTATATGGGGTGATCAGGGTGATTATCACCCCTAGTTTTTTTTATTGGACGAAATGTCAAGAAAAAATTAACATTTTATTATATTTCATTTAATAAATAAATGTAAGGTAATCTATATTTTAAACTTTTTTTATATCTAACTTAAATGACTTAAAATGCACTTTGTCTCATTGAAACTTAAAAACTATATAATTAAACAAACAGTTTGAGTAAAAACAAAATAGCATGGTACATATTTTTGGTTCAGCCATAAGAGCAAGATTTATACAAAGGGGTTAGGGGCAACAATTTTTTTTTCATATTATCCCTAACAGAAAATTGTAATACACTGCATAATTGACTGAATTTTCAGAGAGGCCGGGACCTCCTCGAACCTGCACTCCTATGAACGTGACCAGCACCAGGTTCACGGTACTCTGTGAGCCTGGTTACGGTGGTGGACTACCGCAACAGCTGATTTGCACCGTGGCCGTGGCTGGCCGTTCGGATCACAAGCTGAACAGTTACCAAAGCCAGACCGGACAAACTTCCGTGCAAGTCACGGGCTTGCGACCGTCTACCCAATACGTGGTCACGATACACTCGAGTAACGCCAAAGGACCCAGCACTAGGTACATTCAAGTGTACGTGGAAACCGCGCCCAACCCTAAGGATCCTCGAGTGGCCGGTAAGCAACGTAATCATTTACATTGAAATTTTCCATATTAAAAATTATAATATAGTATTAAACAAATCTAAAAATATGCTGAAACGTCCAAAAAATGTTACTTATTCATTATGCCCATAAGGCAGTACTTCACCGCAACTCCCACAATGACTATAATGTTCTTTATTTAGTTTACATTTCATCGTTTATGATATTATATCTAGAATCTGATAGGTAAACTCTATATTGTTTTCCTTACATTTAGTATCTGTATCTATATCTATATATATATATACCTTGTTTAAAATATAAACATAAAAGTATAAAATTAATTTTAAAAAATTAGACAAATGATAATTTAACAGCTAAAAAAATATTAACATCAAAGGACAGTTTAAATTTATCAACCAGCTTATTGTTTTCACAAGTTATGTCTCGATGAATAATACTCGTGAAAAACAGTCACTGAAAAACTTCAAGACAATAAGAAGTAAAACTTTATTATGATTTTTTTTTTTTTTTGCAATAAAAACAATTTAGAATACATCAAATATTTTGTAATACTTTATTGAAAACCCTTAAACAAATAACAAAACAAAATACAATATTAATACTGACTTATGAAATTAAAACCATTATTGTAATTCTTGAGCTCCTTATTCAATAAATATTTGATGAATTATTATTATACTAAGCTTTCTTCTTAAATATTATTGAAACGACAATGGTATTTTTCAACTTGGAATACTCGGTTAGTATGGTATTTTAACAAATTATGTTATACGCAAAGCGTTATTCCTAGAAACATTTTTTATCTTATTACGGAATTTAATTAAACAAGACATATTCAAAATTATTTAGTGAAACAAATTAACAAATTATTAAGTTAACACGGCGCAACGTGTGTGCAATTGTGCTACATCTACGCCTCTCAAGTTTATTCCCGTTAAATTTATTCAACGCCGTATTTCAATTGTGTGTAAGAATTATGTTATTATACTTTTATCGCCGAGTGGCATGAACGTTCGTCTTGTAAAACAATCGGCTTTAGTTGTTTGAGATTTTGCAATTAAAAAATTGTTAAATTTTATATCAACCTTGTTTAGACATACTTAGAAACTTTTTCTTATGTATTTTTATAACTCTCGTTCACTTGTGCTTACACTGTCGTCTCAATAATAAACGTTTGTTATAAACTATACAATAATAAGTATTGAACCATACAGAACTTTTATCCAATACCAGCGATATTACCATGTGACAAAAATACAACGTTGTTAAAAAAACATATATTTTCTTCTATTCAAGGAATTTTATAATAGAAACACAAAATATATGCAAGTAGCGAAAGAGTAAAAATTGTTGTCCAGTATGTAATTGTTGCCTAGAGTAGTTGTGCTAGATTCACTCAAAACTGTCATTAATTTTGTATAATTTCCTAGCGTTAATTTTTGGTCGTAAATTGATTTCATTGCAAAATGTTCATTGAACGCATCACGTTATCGTGTTAATGGTTTTATAAATAAACATTTAACAATGTTTTAATTTTACGGTTATATTATCAACAAGGTTGTGTACTCGTTAATATGATTATTACGCTGTAGGAACGACTAAAATGAGTATATTACCGGTTACGTATCCTAACTATAGAATGTCCAATGCCTTTGGCCGTACGTAAATCTATTTAAAGCTTTATCCCTATAATCTATAATAACGATGCACAAAAGTTAATAAATCATAAATACATACTGATGTTGTGAAATTAATATGGCTGTAGCATGAACATACTATCACATAATATCAGTAAATACATATATACTGTTGGAGCACTCGAAGTTTCCAAGTATTTCATGTTTCCGCCCGTTTATTATAAGTACAAGACTTCTGCGATAATGATCAAAACGGTAAAAACCGATAAATTCCCATCTCGAGAAACTCTCTTCTCTGGGCTCCTCGGTCTTAAAGCTAAATAAACATCATAGACACCAGTGCTGCGGCCGTTCATTTCTATAGCGTACTTGCTGTAAGTTTTATACTCAAAATGTGACATTTTAATAAAGACTCTCTAAGAACTTTCTCGTCGGTCCGAGCACATCGCACGACTACGATCCGACCTGGTAGAGTTAGGTTATTTAGTATTATTGGCTAGAGAAAATAAAAATGTTAAATCGACCCGCAGCATCTATTAGTGAAGAGTACTTAGACTTATACCTACGCTATTAATATGTAGGTACCTATGTAATATGTTTTAGTTTTTCGAGCGAAACAAATTACTCGTTTATATTCGAGTAACCCTGTACTTTGCCGCACTTCGTTAGTTTGTTCAAGCTGAATTTATTGAATTTCAAACTAAAACGTTAATAAACTAACGGTGGACCCAAACGAAAGCAATCGGACGACTCGGCTTTGAGTTTTTACAGGCTCGTTGATTCTATAACAAAACGGCTTTGCGCGTTTAAAGATTTCTGAAGAGAAGAAAAATACAAAATTCTCGGAAAGGATAACCTTTGGCCATTTTCCGTTAATTTAAGTATCTAGTAATTGAAAACTATTATAGTAATAATCGAGGGTAGTGTCTTAAATCTGTCATTATAACTGTGTGAACATGTTATATGAACATTTTGCAATATATGGGTACATAGAAATTTATAAGGAAAAAAAATAAACCATCTCAATCGATATTAACTCCTTTAGAGAGCTATCTAATAATGCCTTTTCTTCATCTCATAAGCGGATTTGTCCGCTCAGTCTTTGATTTATATTATGATGTTAATAACGTTGACGTTCATTAATATAATCCCAACGTTTTTAAGCATACAAGGTGATACATTTAGGATACAAATAACACACTTATAACACACTGATAACACACTTATTTTGTTCTAAAATAATTGCAATTGTATAGTCTTTCTTTCTGAAATTCGTTTTGTTTTTATTTTACATTATTATAAAATTAAAAAGTACCTATTTACATTTTTTAGTATTTTCCAGAGGTCTATCGACTTCTAAAACTTAAATGGGAACGACGAACGTATATATTTAAGTACCTTTTTGGAAGTAAAATAATTTACTGAAAATATTGACTTGCTGATAACCAGTTTTAGAAAATTACTTTTAAAGTTTAAAATTTAGGACGGGTGGTAGAGTGTGGTCGAGTAACGCACGCAGATAAAATAACTCTTCCCTCCACCCCTCCTCTTGTTATAGGACAGGGAAACTTTAAACTTCAATAATTAAATAATAAGTCAAAATATTCAGCAAACTATACTAAATTATAAAATTTAATTAAATATATACGTTCTCATTTAAGTTTTAAAAGCTGATGGCGCTCTAGAAAAATTGAAAATGATAAATTTTTTATAATTTTCCAGTGTTGTAAAATAACATAAACTAAAGTATTTCCAAAAAGAAAAACTAAAAAATTAAAATTATTTTATAAGAAAATTATTGTCTTGTCCTTAACGAATCACCATGTAGCTACTTTAAACATTGTAAGCGCACTGAATTCGATTTTAGTACCTATATTCGACATGAAACAAAATACGCAACAAAATTAATATTGCGAAGCCGATAAGCACGCTTATTGCGGTTATACATAGTTCATAGATGATAAATATGCGCGTAAAACACAAATAAAGAAGTTAATTTTTATAAAGTCCAAAGTTTGATTTGCAATGGCTTCGTAATCAAAATATAAATAAGTTTTTCGCCATTAAAACGAATAACGATAAGGCAGCCACCTCATTCCGATCACGTATAACTTGGCTATTATTGTATTCATTTCCAGTGCCGTCGTGGTTAACTGGCTTATTATTTTTCGTACAATACAATTGCTCTTTCTTTATTGTTTATTTTCGATTGAAAACTAAAATAACTAATCTCGATCAACATTGAACCTAAATTCTATAAAACATAAATTTACCAATATCTATATTGAACCAATGTAATATTTTAATACATTTTATCCTTAGTTAGAAAGTATAAAAACTATAGATAAGATATTGGCAAGAGGTCTATGATAAAAAAAAAACGGATATTATACACAAATAAATAATCATAAGACTCCAATAAAACAAAAAAATAATAAATAAACATAATTATAATAATGCTAACGATTTGAATAAATCATTTAATCATATAAACAGTTCTAATAGTTATATAATTCTAAATAGAATTTCATAAGCTCAGTGCGGAATACACGTCAACTGATTCCCAGACTATTTATATTATTCCACAGAATACACTTTGTATTATGTAAAATTATGTACATATAAAAATGTATATAAAATTCAGACTTTTAAAAAGTATTTATATTTTTGGGGTTTTAATAAATATTCAGATAAATAGACAACTTTTGCTCATTATTGATATTTCAACAAATTCAGAAAATTTTTAATTTTTTGTCTTATCCCACTTGTAATAATTTTGTATCATGTATGGTTATATTGATCAATTTAATACAGAAATTAACTACACCTGTAAGTATTGAAAAATATTATAAAAAAAAAGTCATTATTAGTAGGGAACACTATCTTGCGATTAATTTTTCACTATCAACTAACGCAATACCAAAAACCATACAGTAAGTATACAGTAGTATACATAAATAATTATGATGTCAGGTGTTGTTGATAGAACATAAAGCTTAAGGTATATTAAAATATAATCTAACAATGTTTTATTTTTCGGTATGTTTTGCAAACTAAAAGCCGCTTAATAATAAAATACTACAATAGTAAAGATACAATATACCTACTATATTATAGTACTAGTGGAGGAGATAAAAACTTTTAAACAAAAAGTCAACTTTAAAGTAGCTTTAGGAAATTGATGATTTTTAATAATGTCTATAATATTTAAAACATGTATAGGATAATTTAGTTATTTTAAATAACAAAAATGATTGAAATGATAATCTGTAAAACTGGAGGTTTATTTTTTTAATGTATAAAATAATATTCGACGTAAACAATAAAGCATAACTATAATAATTTCAAAAACCTATTATGTTCTAAAATTGTTATTGCAGTAGTCCAACAATAAGAAATTAAAGTAGAAAACACAAAGAAAATAACAATATTGTTCTCTCCCCCCCCCCCAGTCTTTAATATTTCTTTATCTAAGTTTATATGCATTGTTTCTACCTTTTGATAAAAAAAAAAATGCGTGGAAAAAAATGGTTAAGTTGATAATAAAACGAGTAAATTGAAAACTATTGTCCATACCTGAGCAGAGCTTTGCCGTCATAAAAAAAGTGTTATACTTGTACGTGCTAACTAAATATTATGTTTAATTAAACGTGTAGTACGAAAAATTACTATTATTTGTCATTTATCTAATACTATAGAGAGATTTCTTGTTTATTTAAACGCTTCGAAGGGAACGAAAAACGCTAAATTTTATACGAATAAAGACTACAACGCAAAGTCCCTACCCGATGTGTACCTTTAAAAGTTTTTTAACTAGAAAACTCAGTAGTAGTTCACCCTAAAGTTAGTCGGCTTATTTAAAATGGCTACTAAATCAAGTATTGTCAAATATTACCTATCCTTTGGCCCCCTAATAATAAATAGTCCTTTCCGTTCATCTAAACTAATTAATCTGTTGTTTATGTGATTGTGACTTAAGGCGATTCCACCAGCACTGTCACCAGGTTCTCGAATGCCGCATACGTCGGGATTGTACTTCTTAGCTGTTGTTTTGTGGGTGCATGTGCGATGGCCGTTGTGTTTGCCAAACGACTAACGACCGGTCAATCAGTATTCCAGCAACGATCCACAACTGTCAGGTCCCGAGACGGTGAAGAAATTCGATTTTCCGGAGCCAAGGACAGCGCCGATCGACGTCCAGTTGTTTCAAGTTAGTATAGTGAAAATGTTAATGGGAAAAAAGTCCCCCAGAGAAGGGTTCAATAATTTAAACAATGTATTACCATGATGTGTAGAATAATATGGAAACGAGGGGAATGGATAGGTTTTCTTTTTGCAATTGACAATATTTTTTAAGGTTTTGAAACGCCTTGCGCAAAATCAATACACACCGTTATTCCGGAATTCCATCAAAAAATGTACTCCAGAGAAAACCTACTTTGCTAGTGTCAGTGAAAGAATATTTTATATAAAATCAGACAGACAAGCTAAACGAGGATTATGTACTTTTACAATAAACGTCGAGTAAACACAATATTTAATAACGAACCGTGCCGCGATACCGGTCGTATGTACTCTGTCTATGTTTTTCGTTAAATTCTGTACCTATTCAGTTTAAATAGCTCTGATTTATATTTGACCAAATTAACAAATAAGTATTGTTGTTATTAGTTTTTGTTTTCCCGTAAAAATACACGATTTAATTACACTGTTAATATTTTTAGTCGAAAAACAGAGATAGGTCAATAGTAATTTTAATTCCAATAACTACAGATATCAGTAAAGACAAACATTGTTCAAAATCATTTGTCTCTTGGCTATAACCGTCTACCGTCCCATAAGGTCAGTTTCATATACGAGTGCATGAAATAACTTATTAGTCAAATTTAGTCATCGTGTGTGGTGCAGTGGAGTGAAGTACCGAGCTCTATACTATTGGTATTGAGTTGATTTTTTTTAACTTCGCGAAACAGACGTTATCCACCACCACAAACTCTAATTTTCTAAGCTTTAGAATCCCTAGAATATTTACAAGACTTCGAGAAAATATGTACTTAGGTATCTATGAATATAGGCGCACTTGAGTTCCTTAATGGATTATGTGATTGATTAGAACAAAACAAAGAATTAACCATACATAGTGTAAGTGTAACAGCTAGATTATGTTATACCTACGGTAACTTTATAAACAAATTCAAATAGTCAACGTATTATGATAATCATTATATTGATTTTATAGTATAAACGGGTTTATATAATTTTAACTAATTGATAAATGATAATTTATTATCCTATAGTAATATGAATTGAGAACAATGATAATTCTTCATGTATATGTACTTATTGTATTTTAATATATGTATGCATAAATATTTATGTGGCAATGTACGGCCAATTAATAAATTATGAGCCGATAGGATAAATAATAATTAATATAATAATGTAAAAATGAATAAAGGCGCGTCCGGTTATGCTTTCGATCGATGTCTAAAATCGAATTATTTGGTTTTCGTTAGTTCCACCTGTTACCCCCTGATCCGGATGAACCCTGGTTTTGGGTTGGCCTTTGGTTCTGGTTTGGCCTCTGGTTTTGACTTTGACTCTGGTTCTGGTTCGGTCTCTGATTCTGATTTTGGCTCTGGTTTTGGTTCGGCCTCTGGTTCTGGTTCGGTTTCTGGCTCTGGTTCTGGTTCTGATTCTGATTCTGATTCTGACTCTGAGTAGTCGAACTGCCGCCGCTGGTGGATCCCGCTGGTAGAGAGGCTACGACACGGTTCGAAAATCGTATGCGCACATCCTGAGTGACCATATTGGGCGTCAAGAATTGTTGTAACAAAGCCACTCCGTCCCTAGGAGTACGGTCGAACGGGAATCCCATGCTCCTGGCATCCGGGTAACGGGCGTCACGAAGACCGCAATAACTTGAAGCGTCGTCGCAGGTTTGTTGGGTTTGTCCGTTGTTCTGCACCTGATATGTTATTGACAGAAATGTGTATTAATAAATTATTTTTTTATTTAAGTTTCATATAAATTTTTAACATGGATATGTTTTTGGACTGGGTACACAAACATATAATTGCGTCATCTCATCAATTTCGCGAAACATTATATTATATGTACCTATAATGAAAATTCGTTTGTAGTGCAAGGAGTACAAGGAATATGGCGGCTGCACCTCGTTAGAGCCCAAAAACATATGTATGCCACTATGTTTTTCCGTTAAGCGGAGAAATTTGATTAGATTTGATTTAATTAAACTAAATCGTATACCTATTACCGTTGAATTAACATACGAAAAAAACATTTATATTAGGCTATAATAACGAGATTAAATTAAAAGTAAATCTAAAGAGGATGAACTAAACCACTTATTAATATAAAGATCTTACGTTATTTAATTTAATATTTATTTTATTCTTTTAATCCTTTGGTATATATATATATATATACTACCAACTCACAGAGATAAATCTTAAGTACGTCACTTGTCGGGTACGATAAACTCCACAATCCCATTAATTTAAAACGATCCCAATCTTGATGTGACAATAATGAACTAATTAAAATATAAGAGATATATTCTATTAAGCCGTATACTTAAAATGTGTGCTTAGCCTACTGTTTACCAAATTATTTTATGCAAATTACTTCCATCGAGTTAGGCTACATTTTAATTTATTGTGTCGCATATACATTATACACATAACGAGTCACAACGTTTTAAATATGCACACGAAAATTAATATTTTCTCTAAAATTACAAACACAATAAACAGTAACAATTATTAGATAGAGGATTTATAACATGTTCTTGACTACTATCACTTAATGATTCATTTTAACAGGATTGCAACAAGTCCGTCATTAAACGTCATTCAAATTGTATTTTATTGAAACGTTCGCTAGTCTTTTTTCTCAACAAAACTTGAATAGTTATACTATTTTTAATCTTTGTCTATCCGGTTTATTCAATTTGTATTAAAATTAAAAGTTAAAGAAAAAAATGTTTTTTTTTAAATTTAATTTTTATATAAGTCTGAGGTTTTTTAAGTAATTGCTTTACAACCCACGACAACAACCCCCCGGGTCCGGTAATTGAAATGTAATCGTGACGGTTCAAATATTATTACCGTATCCTCGGCGCCATTTGACACCATAACAAACAACTGGCATTGGAACCCTTCGGGCGAACCTTTTGCAATTAACATATTTTGTGGCCATCCACAACCGCAGAAATTGAAAGCCTGTCCCGACACTGAATCGTTGGAAGTAGGCCTGTTGCTGTCCAAATTTCGGTAGGTCACTTCGTGGGGTATAGTCACCGATGACTCTGTCGATCGACGTGTGATCTCATTTGTTCCTCTTTTCACTGTACAACAAATTGTAAGGTAATAAATTATTATTATTAATATTTGTGATGAAACGTAATCCGTGTGCCACGTTAAACGCCCAAAACAATATTTCAAATTTTTCTCTTTGACCCATAAAAATTATCGTCTACCATTGTTTTAAATAAGAACTGCGTATCGTTGAATACATACAAGTCGTGCTGAATCTGTCCAGCTCCACAAACAGTTTCCTTTGCTCGCTAAACAAGAATGGTAAGCCACGTTCGTCGAATTTAGGTGCCATGAAAATGCGAACGGTACCCATACGTTGAGTGTCGTTGTTCGCAACCTAGACATTTAAAAAATGCATTTGCAACAAAATGGAATACACAATGAAAAAAATTACTATCCTATTTGATCGATAACGATTTTCTCAAAAAAAAAATTTACCAGTTAAGAGATAAAATAAAGCGTGATAGACAGATAAAGTGTTGAGTAATTTTTGTATACGAACGTATGGTTATACAATTTACTTACGACGATTCTGTACGTGAACGGAGCATGTTGCAAGTGAGTGACCCTGACCAGTGTTGCGCCCCGAGGCATAAAGTCCAAACCCCTAGATAGGTCCAATTCGCTCTGTTGCCAGTACGTGGATAACTCGTTGGTAAGCTGTTGTCCATTACTTTGGCTGGTAATTCTTACGCTTTCCACCCTGACATTTTCGAAGGACAACTATAAAGCATTAAGTTAAAAAATATTATTACCCCAGTGCGTTTTGGCTAAGCAATGTATGCTAGGTACTCAAGAGGCTTACGGTTTGAACGCTGTAACTGGGAATGGTAGCTTTGAATTCGTGGAATATGTCGTCGATGTAAGCATGCCATCGGTAGAATATCGGATCTCGCATAGCCGTCGCCGAATCTCCCATCACGCTGTAGTTTTCCTGCCAAAGACCAAGAGATGCGCGTTGTCGATTACCAATGGAATATTAAATTATTATTATTATTATTATTATACCAAGTATCTGCTGTCGGGATCGTGGCTGTAAGCGATAGCATTGTGCCCGTTGTTGTGCAGCCCACCGTACAAATTTGGATTTTGGCTCAGTATACTAGATTCCATCAAGTTTCCTAGTATGTCGATTCCATCGGTTTCGGTTAGCCTGACTTGCTGTCCGGCGGTCTAAAGAATAAATAAATTTGATTACCTACCAGGCTACTATTTGAGAGCTCACGGTTTTACATGTTATCCAGTGGAAGATCAAGTGGTTTCGATTGATCGTTAAAATACAGTTACTGAACTTTTTTATGAACACACCTAAACTAACATTACACCACCATATTTCATATAAACCCATAGTTCGACAAGCTTTATTATTATTATAGTAGGTATTAAAGTAATATTGGATCAAAACTGCATGTATAAAAATATATGAGAAGACTTGTAGAAAAAAACAAAAAATCATTTTTTCACAAAAAAATAATTGTAGTAAATTTAATAGCTAGTATTAAACACCTTAATAATTTAAGTTTATGTCATTACGTTAACTTTTAGAAAACGTATAAATAGGCTATATCATTACGTTTATGATAAATCCTGAATGAATGGCGGTGTATATGCGGTCTCTCCAGCGCTCCATGTCTTCGATATCAAACTTAATCCGTTCCACTTCTCTGTTGATGTTCTGTAGTAATGAAAATTACAAATATACTCGTTCTTATATGTTTATACATTTTAATGGTAAATTTGCTCACAGAAAGTTTAGTGTTGGCAGGTCTAGGAGGCCACACGCGGTTGGCTAGTACGTTGTCGAGTTTCGGGAAATATCCTTCCGGAATTGGTTCGTGCCAGCTGGTTAAACGCACCACCCGACTCATGTCGTTTGATAACCGTTCCATGTTGTACCTAGGTATATAATCGGTTAATATTACGGTATTTCTAAACGTCGACAACATGTACAAAAAATAAAATGCTGAACCCTATTTACCTGGCAATGATCTGCTGGTGCATGTAATAGAAGAGTTCGCCCCGTCTATCTTTGTTAACCACACTTAAGGGACCGTTGAAAGGGTACACGAGATGCCAATGCCAGTGGTGAAGGTTCACGCCGACGTCTTCACGGAAATAGCTGATTCTGTGCTCAATGTCTACGTCAGTGGCCGAGTAGTCATATGGTATTTCGATGGGCGTCTGCAGCAAAAATAATGCGATTAAAAATCAATACAGATGTGAGATGTCATCGACACTCGAGTCTCGAAATGTGTTTAAATATGTCGTTAATGTATAAGATATTGGTAGGAAAATTGTCAAGGAAAAAAACAATTAAAAGATAAAAGAAACCGCAAAAAAAACCTACGTGGATTAAAAATTTTCCTTAATATTTTACTTATATTTGTTCATGGTTTGTCTAAATGAGCTGATTCAATTTTGACAGCGATCAAAATATGATTGGATGATTTTTATTATTTTGACGGGATTTTTTTCCTCGTTATCTATTAAATCTAGAATTCTAGAATTTACTAAGTATATGTGGCTAGCTTAAACCGATATGTGATTTAAACTTGTGCTCTGTGGTTTGAAAATTCTAAAAGCCATGACAATTACTTTTAGTATATGATTTATTCGATGGCTATAACAAGAGATTTTAAGAACTTATTTTGTTGCAAATAATTATTTGCAATGGTTACATTCATATGCATATCCTTCAGTTTTCAAAAAGTTATGTCGAGCTAAATAGTTATTGATTTTACATGTATTTTTGTTAATTATTTTTTTACATTGGAACGATTTCTTCAAAAAATCCGTCTATAGATTACAAATTGAACATCTAAGGTATTTTCGATCATCATTAGGAAAAGCTCACACTTTGGAGAGTGTGATATGGGTATCAGAATAAAAATAAATACCCTTAAAATCTTATGAGTATTTAAAATCGGTCACAAATTTGTAATTTATTATCTCAGTTATGATCATTACCATTTTTCTCCGGGATGGTTAATTTTTATTTTTGATATTTAAGCGTAGTTTTAGACTTAAAGTTGAAAATAATACTGTAGCCCATAGGTAGATCTAATGTTATTTTCATCATTATAGCATATTAAACAATAATTTTTAAAAATGTATTTAAATATTTTTACGAGCAAAAGTACATCACTAAAAAACCACATTTATATAGTCAATACTCGATTAATTTTATCTACAGAAAACTGTTTTGTCTAGGTTTTAATTTCAGAGATTTGTCTATAGAAATTTACATAGATACCACTTACAAATACTAACCCGTAGAAGACATATAGTAAAAAAGTGTACGTGTTTTTTTTTTTCCTTAAACAATTTTTAACCTCCTAACATCCGCATTAGGCAGGTTTAAATGCACAACCCATAGATCCACCGCTGATGGATAGTAGTATAATATAGATAGACATTACTCACCCTGGAACCGGCTTGAATGACAACTGATTCTTCTCTTGCCCTGCTAAATACGGACGAGTCCAAGTACAGACTGGGAAACATTTCGGCGTGAGACGGCGGTGGTAGGTTGCGGGTGTCAGGTCTGTGTATCATGGCCACGGACAGAGCGTAGATGAACATGTAAGAGTTAATGCGGTCCCTGCAGTACACTGATAGCGATAAGAACTCGTCATAATTCTTGGCAGCTAAGAGACAGGTAAATTAATATAATATTATTATATTGTTATGAATAATAAATATAAAAAATACAAACCAACCCATGAAAATCTCGATTAAACGAGCGGCCATATCACTGTGATATGGGTTGAATAGAGAGAACGGTTCATTTCGACCCAAAGACAGCGGAAACGATAGGTCCGGAATTTTGTTCAGCTTAGTTATGGGTACGGTTTTGCCGCCGCTGGGAAACCTAGTTTGAAGTTCGGACGCCAACGGTTTGTAACGGTCCACCTTGAAATGAACAAAAATATTGGGCAAATAGATTTACATGTTAATATTATTATTCTGTGGATTGAGTGATTTTTATCTCAAGAAAATCAGTCCACTGAACCAGAAATCGTTTTGACAATGATATTATTTTTATCAAGTCGTAAGATATTAAATAGCTTTGAGAGGAAGTACTCGTACTAGAAACAATTATTGCTTATATCACAAATTAATTCGACTTAAAGCACCAGAAGACTAGAAAACGTTTTCAAAATTCAGATCATACTTTTGATCCGGAGACAAATATCTATCAAAGTAAGAATAATTTAAAAGTAGTTCAAATTTTAACAATTTTCGATTGTTTGTAAGTTCTGTCATTAAACATCATTCTTGTTAAAACTAAAAACATATATGATTTAAAAATATTTTTAAAAAATATACTTTAAAGGACTAAAGGTATACGATATAGATAACACTCTGATAACACATGATGAAACTTATATTTAACACCAAATTATGCAATTTTTATAACGGATACAGGTTTTATTTTTGTATAAAAATATTTGTTTCTACTTCGAACAGAAAGTTCTTAAAAATAATCTGATTTAAGTTTTAATAAAACATTTGGATTCTTCAAAACATTTACAAATTTTAAAATTATTTTTTGTTAATTAATAATTTCTATGTGCAAAATTGCAATTTTCAAAGGTTTTTAATCTAATTTATAATTTAATAACATTTAAACGTACTTCGATTGATACATCAAGCAAGTATTGAAAATTCTATATCCGTTTTCAAAACTATTATCGGACCACGCGTTAGAGTACGATAAAAATTAGAATAGGTTGTTTTTGATAAAAAAAAAATACGCAGGTTTCAAGGAAGCCAATTAATATCCTTACAAGAAATTATTAGTAATAATTGTATTTTTTAAAAGAATTTTTCAGCTTCTAGTTTATTTTAAAAAAAGTTAGAGATAACCTCATCTTCTTCTTAGATTTTTCATCGATACAATTTAAATAAATCATTTCATTACTTTTTAAATAATAGTGTTATAGTGTACTTGCTTTATGAATAATAGAAATAATTTGTATTTTAAAAAAGTGGCTAGTATTATATCGCATCCCTAGAATACAAACGGCATAACTCAAAAAATATCATTTTTGGAAAAATGGAATTTAAGGCTTTAGAAGGTAACGGACTTAAATGGCACCTAAAAAAGGCACTTGACGCTATCTAGCGGTAAAAAAAATATGGTAAGAAGAAACTGATTAGTGCAAATGGTAGATATTGTTTCTCGCGCTGCTATAAAAAAAGTGGTTATAGTAGTGGAGCCAACTCAAAATCGACATTTTTTGTGTTATGATGTTTGTATTCAAGAGGTGCCTTTCAATATTATCGAGACACTTGCTTAGTAAATACTCGCTTATAAAAAAACAATGTAAAAATACTTTTTAATATTGAGGACATTTTATTAAGTAATACTTTTGTCTTTTTTCCTTAATACAATAATACAGGTCTTGATGGTAAATAAAAAACAAGTACATACCAAGTATTCAGTAGGAATATCGAAAGTAACATTGTCATCGCCTTTTCCAATGAATAAAGGTTCAGTAGGTCTGTCGAAGAGGTATAAAATGTTTGTTTTGTCCGTCATGGCGATAGACGTCAACCTGTTAATAACAATTCAACTGTTCATCTTATATAGTCTAACTATTATACATGATTTTAGAAAAAAAATATGATATTTTGTTATTATCTTCTTAAGTTTTTTTAATAAAACAGGCAATTAAAATTATCGTAAAATTTACTAAATTCCTCGCATTTAACCAAATGAGATTTGATTCGATAGAGTTTTCACTCAAAAAGCTTTCATAATATTGCTAAGGAAATTTAAAGTACAACTAAGAAATATTTCTCCGTGTTTTTATTTTAATACAACTTAAACAATAAAATTACAGTAGTTATTTTGAAAAATTTTAACACAGATTTTTTTTAAGACCCGTTTTTGTTTGATCACATAAAAATAGTTAATATTAATATTATATCAACTTTAAAAACGTTATTGATACTAACAGAGTTATGCATATAAATTGTTATTCAAATAAAAATATATTTTGTTACTTTTTTCATTATTCAAATATAATTTTGCATAATAGTCAAGAAACTTGATCACATCTAACAATTTTAATAGAGTAATTATTGATAATATTATATTTAGTCAGTTAGAGTTTTACATTATTTATATTATATAATACTAAAGCGTTACCAAAAAGCTTGATGTAAGAGAAAAGAACGTGCCTTCCGATGAATACTAATGAAGCCGTTGCTCGAACGATTAATGGTTGCTACTAATTTATTACTCTTTTATAACGAATTTTAAAAACCACAATGGAGAGTTTAACATGACTTTTGGCCGATAGTGTTTCACACTTGAGCTGGAAAAAAAATGTCTAACCGCGTTGCTTCCGCTTCGATTAGATTTCGTTGGGCTTTGGGATACACTTTTCTATGGGAAATAACAAAAACGCCGGAAACCACGACTGCTAACTAAATAATACGTACTACTATGCAAGACACAAGCTGATTATTTGTAAATGATCTATGTTGAAATTCGCATGATTTCACGAAATAAACGATATTTTTTTATCGACTTTATAGTTACTGATATTTTTAGTAGATAAAACTACAATACAACTACACACTTAGAACCCGTTTGAAAGTTTTCAGGGCAAATTATGAATGTGAGGCCCTTTTTCCGTAAAATTGATAATGCCCACCCCCTTCCTTTATTTCTTTCTTCGCTTTATGTTCTTGTAGATTATTTGACTTTTTGGTTTATTTTAATTGAATACGCATTTCGATTACATCACACAAATGTCGTGCCATACAAAGTTATTATTATTATCTATTTCTTATAATACATAAAAATATATACATAATAACAAGTCTTTTCAAATTATAAATAAAAACAAATAAAATCATCGACTTTATACTTTAAATATGGTGTACCTAAAATAAATATTGTTCAACAGACTTCTACTCCCTATTATTTTGTTATTTAAGGTGGTGATTTGTTTCATCACGGTTTTTTTGGGGTAGTTATTTGTAAAACGAAGTATTAAGTTATATTATATTTGTTCCACTTAAAAAAAAACTTAACTATATTTTGCCACAACGCAAGTTATGTATATAACTATAAAAATATAAGCTATAACTGTTTTAGCAAACCTATTTTAGCAAATTCATCTTAACATATCATTTTCTGGTCTTTAAATCCTCATAGACATTCAGTAATTACAAAATTGATGTTATTGTTTTAGAAAATGAAAACGGGTTGCTGTCTAGACTAACAGTTCAATTAAAATCACAGGACCTTCAGCCAAATGACTCATGTCAAGAACCAACTCTAGAGCTAACTGCGCGTCCAGTCACGTCTTTGCAACCCACGAACAATTCAAAGTCATTTTACGTAAGTACATATTTATTGCTAAGCCATTCCGTTTTTCTGACAATAGTGTAATTTCTAAATAATTAGAAATATTTTAAGTTTCCGCTACTAAAGCAAAATAATTGATTCAGATGGTTTGTGTGTGTAGAAGAAAGAGCGAAAAATAAAATAGGAAAATGATAAGAGGTATTACTTAAAAAGTATTAAAATATGGAGTTATGTCAACACGAGTGTTGATTAACTAAAGAAATTGCGAATAATAGTGATACCTATGCGGAAAGAGATGATTTAGAAAATGATCAGCCCCATTTGTACGGAAAGACAGAGAAGACAATTATTTATGTATGATATATGTTTAAAAAAAAGTCACAACAATAATAAATAGTTTTATAATTGTTGTTACACAGTTTTATAATTGTTGTATAAATATACAAAACAACAAAGTGTGTACCTTAAATAGTTATATTTAAACTGCCATACTATATGTATAATCAAATATATTGACACTCATTTTATACAAACGTATAGCAACCATAGAATCTTATTAGAAACAACGTCATTATTTATTTATATTTAAAATGTCGAATGTCTTTTTTGATAGAATGGTTTTATAATAACTAAAGCTTAAAAGCGATTAGCCAACAAACTTATAATGCTCATTGTTTCCAAGAGTCGTCAGCGTGCAGACTAATTCTACTTTTCTCGAGGTACATTTATGATTAACAAAAAGGACCTTTTAAATCGTTTTTTTATTTAGAATCTACCTCCTATTGTTATTTTATAATATTCTAGTTAACTATTTTGTATACTCTGTGAATGTTTAAAGGTAAAATGTTTAAAAATACTTTTCATGAAATGAGATGTCATTGTTCGTGGCGGTAATTAATGGGAAAACACTGTACGCCTACTCGGTATAATATTTACATATTATATAAAGGGTTTTCAGAATTTCACGATGCAGCGTATTATTCTGATTGAAATAATTGTTGTAGCTATAGCGTATAAATTGAATATCAAAACCAAAATGATTGATGTAAATAATGGCTAGCCAATACCCATTTTGTCTTAATATTTGTTGAGGTATTAGTAATTACAGTTAATATTCATTCACTTTGAACTGTATTAATCTTTAAACATTTCGGTTAAGAAATATAGTTAATTTTTGTCATTTGTAGAAGGTTTTAGTTGTAGAAGATTTATTTGAAAAGCAAACCACGGAACGTACTAAACGATACGCAGATACAGAAAAAAACCATTATTATAAAACGAAAACCCAATATATTCTGAGCACTGAAGCGAAAAACGTCTGATTTAGTTTATAGAGTACAATACATCTTTTAAAGACAAATGTTTTGTTTTTAAAACAAAATTTGTTTGAAAATAACATTTTATTTAATAAGAAAAAGCACATTCAAAACTCAAGAGCATTTTTTATTATAGTAGTTAAATAATAAAATAGAACCTTTTTATTCAATGTAAGCAAAATGCCTAAGCATAATATAAACCCTCTTTAAATAATTTATATAAAACTTTTTTATTATAAACATAAACATATGACACATAATATTGTAGTTCCAACAAAAATAAAATACAATCAGTGATGACAATTATTATTAAATTTGTTTAAAAAATATATTGAACGCCATTTAATTCAAACACCTAAATTTAATACTCTATAAAATATAAACGAATATCTATTTAATCAATAGATCATAGTTTTCAATGAGCTCGTGACTCATTTAATGGAGATATTATACTTGTTTAAAAAGAAGACAGTAGTTAGTCAGTTAAGTAAAATACTGTTTTTCGGCTGTCCTAGTGTAAATTCTTAAAGCTACTGTAAGTGGGGCAACAAATTAAAATATAATTTAAAAAGTAGTAAGTGTTTGCCTTTAAATTATGGTTTTTAAAAACAAATACTAGTCACTGGCTTTTTAATTATTTACAGAAAACAAACTTCTTAACCAACTCTATTAAGTATATGGTTATAAACGTACCCCAGGAGGTATTGCTTTCATAATGATGTGTTTTTATTTATTTATTGTATGGCCTATTGAGACACGTAACAACGTTTTACTAGTAATATTAACACAAAATATAAAATGTCAAATATATTCAAAGTATACACAAATCAATACCACATTATATATCGCATCATTCTAAAATCTATTAACTTATGTTTAAAGTTCCTTACTATCTTAAATCCAGAGATTCTCAGATCAACTCTAGTTTTTATCTAAAAAGTCTCCTTGGCATTTTTTTATTTGGTATAGATCAGTATTCTACTGCCTGTTAGTACTATCACTTAGTTTCATCAATGCATGAAACAAAACAAGTGTACAATAAGCATTATTGCTGACAAGATAATACATAGCTTGAATGACTTGTGTAGACCCATTGGTGGTACTCCATGACTTAAGGATAAGAATAGAGTTAAATAATTGGTTTTATAATGTAAAATATTGTTTTTTTTTTTATCTATGAAAATTGATTTAGAATGTATACTGGTGTGTTTGATATGACTGCTAATACATATAGTAATTTTTATTTCAGATAGGAAGCCGTGTGACCGACAACAAGGATGTTCGATCGTACGGACCAATGATAAATGGTGTTAATCAACAAAAGCTGTGCGACTCTTTTGTCGTCTACCCAAACCACAGATCTGTGCCAGTACAGGATATGGTCTATACTCGCACTACCAAACCATATACCGAAATCGAAAGCATAGTCTAAAACCATTAAAACGTATTACTTAGGTAAATATTTGTATTGCACAACACAAATAACCTAGTCTAAACGTGCATTGATTTAAATGTGTATTATTATTATTCTTATCAAAGTAAAATTAGTTAAGGTTTTTAAAGGCCAACAGCAATAGTTGGTTTTATTAAAAAAAAATTAAAACTACAAGTACACAAGATACAAGAATAGATAGAATAGATACAAGAATACTTTGATTGCTGAAGCGTCGAATAATGGTCGCTGATTGAGATGTACATAATATGTAATACCGCTTTACAGCACAAGGCGTGTACAGTGTAGTTTTTGTCATCAAACGTATTTCTACCGACAATAAAATAACTTGGTCCCTTAATTAAATGGTCCCTTAAGTCTTAAATGTAATTGTAATCGGTAGTACACTCCTATTTTACGGCCTCTAATTAATTAACTTTTTTTTTTATCACAATAACTGTTGTATTGTTCAAGCACAAGTTTGAACTTTATGCTTTCATTTTTTACACGGGGAGTTGTGAGATTTCTGATAAGATTGGTTATTCCTTTCTTAGTTTTTTTTAATATTTTTGTTATTAAATCATACGAAAACCGTTCCGGTATATACCTACGCTAAAACTTTTAAACAACCATACCCACATCATTTTTACGACTTGCGTTTAAATTTAACAGCTAATTACTTTTCTAGGGTTCTGCTCTACGGCTAATTAGTTTTCCGGGTTAACAGCGATTTATTTTTCTGAACTCCTTTGAAGTCCCACGGGAATCTAATAGGTAACGTACAGTCGCGTAAATATGATTTTCAGGTTCGAATAACTCCACCGACCCCAAAACCTATAGTTGCATATTTTAATTATTATTATGCTATACGCCGATAGAAAAACTGAAAATAACAACTTATTATCTTAAATTTAGTTACTGTTTAATAAAAAACAACAAATTTTCTCTGAAAAGTTATGTAAATATTTTTGTATCATAAATAATAATGTAAAAATTAGGTTATTTTTGGAGACCTTTTTGATGGTAAAGCTCATTATTTCTTTGTGATAAAACATATTTTACCATAATAATTACTTGAAGATAGAGCTTATTTATTGTATATCTAATATTGTTTTTAGTAAAAAATTACAACTTTAAAAAAACAGGCAATTGTTATAAACTTAGGTTAAATTTTGTTTGAAATAATTTTTAACTCCACTAAGTTATTTTTAAAAAGTAACCATTAAGCTTTAACTTATCTAAGCTGCTTGCTTTTTTTCATTAACTTTACTTATTTGTAAAAATGTTTACAAGTACACTCAATAGATAAACTTAAGTCCAATTTTCTGATTGAAATTTGCCCTCAATAAAAAGAAATTAAGAAATAGTATAACCCCTTCTCTAAGAAGAGGTTAGTGATTTGTTTTAACGTGATAATGTTTTTTTGGCTTAAGGTCAACTATATAAATTATATAAAATAGATTGCATATAAATACATATGAAGAGATCATACAGTGGTAAAAATGGCCCTAAGTCTATACACAATAAAGACGAATATATTTTGCAATTAAACACATTAAATCCAAAACTACATCATATATATTAAACAATATAAATTATATGTTTCTCAATTTCGATGAGACTTCATCTACTATTAGGTAGATTTATATACCAAATTAACGTGAGCAGCCGCCTATTTCAACTAAAACATTTATTGGTGATTGTTGTTACCTTTTTTATAAATACCACAACTCTAAAAATCTTTCCCTTAAAGTCTACTTATAACTATCTACCAATGTTAAAATGTGAAATGTGAATTCATATCTAAATGTACTCTGCAAGTATGGTAAGACTTTGCTCGGTGTCAGTTAAATCTCACCTCCTAATTATTCAAACTGTTTTACGACATCATTCAGTAAGTTTACAATGTATGTTTGTTGGACGGAAACTTAAACCATTTCATTAGACTAGGGTCTGGTGTTGGTTAAGTATTGCAAATTAGCCGGTACCCTTATTACATATAAACTATGCTTAGCAGTTGACGCATAATGGTAATATTATGTAGAATACCTACTACATAAATTTGTTCAGTGAAAATTCATATTTAACCTAATAAAATGTTTACTTTACTTTAGTTATATTATTTATTAGACCAAATAAGTGGAAATACTATCGTGCTATAATTTTTAGACTATTTATCATATAATCCCTCGGACCATATGCCCTCGAGCGTGTGTTTCAATAAATAAATAAATAATATAATTAGATATTGCCCATTAGGCAGGTTTATAAGTTAAAATTATTACTTAAGTCCAAAATACTTTATAAAATGTAATTAATTTTTGTTAAGTTATTTAATAAAACTTGACTTTTTACTCATGGATGTATAGGTTATATTTATAATTTTAATTTTTTATTGAATAGTAATATTTAATTATATTTATTTTAAAATAATTGCCTAGGAAGTATTTCTTTAACTACTATGTCAGTTTGTAAAAGTGCAAACAAATTGTAACTTGCATATAGGTTTATTTTTTTTCCCACGTTTTTATTAACTCACCATAGGCGAAAATACGGGGGGGCTAGGGTGGGCTTAGCCCCCACCCAATGCTACACATAGCCCCACCAAACAAATTAGGTTATGCCTACAATTTTAAAATATATTTAATTTAAAAAAATATTCAGCCCCCCAAGTTAAAAATTGAAATTGCGCCTATGTAACTCACGTTCTTGTTTGTCGTTCCGGGTGGAATCTTGCAAATCAAAAAGACCTATTTTACGCCCGCCAGCAAAAATTAAGTGTGGTCCGTTTGGGCATGAACAGTGCCCACATGTGACTTGTGAGCGGTACCAGTTTCATAACCGTTCCCCTCATTACACTCTTTTTGCATTTAAATTATTCTTAACAAAATGGCTATTATGAATTTTAAAAAAAATTTAACAAAAAAAATGTTTAATAAGTAAAATAGTTAAGTGCAATTAAAAACGTAGTGCTTATAGCGCAAATGAGTATAAATTACTTAAAAAAAAACTTAAAAATATTCACTAAAACATTTATAACCTTCTCCTTTTTTGAAGTCTGTTAAAAACTTTTTAATTCGACTAGATCCTAGATACTATTAAAACAGCCCTAAAATTACAACATACCTACGTCGTAACACGGTAATATAGTAAACAGATTTTTTTGTTAAGACACATTTAATAGTATCCAATATAAGTAGGTATACACTGTTCAACAATCATAATAAAAATAACATGAATAGGTAAACGTTTGATTTTGTAAAAAATAATTATAACTCAACATTCAATAAATTGTTTATACGGCGACACAGACAATCATGTGGGTCAAATACAAATTCATTTAAACGGTAAATGTCGATGGTACAAAATGAGACGTACTAAGATTTCAGTTTTGACCCACATTCACACTCAGCACTCTCATTACGGATGTCGAGTATTGTCGACAAATAGGTAAACGCTGTATCGTATGTACCTTCACATGCTGACCCAGATTGCATACCTACGTTTTGAAGGAAATTCTAAATTCCAAAAAAAACAACAATAAATTATTTTGAATGCGTTAATGGATAATTATGAACGCTATAATATATGTAATTTTAATCTAATGTATGTACCTATTATTCATTACGACCAGGAATAACAAAATCTCAGTAGAGTATTGAGATATACCTACTTCAATCTAGATTAGAAGTTGATTTTTTTTTTAAACAAGTGTTATCACAGAAATGTGTACACGATTAGTGATAACAGCGACATTTACCGTTATCGGAGTAAGACCGGACTAGTCGAGTGGTATATAGTTAGTAGTGCCGATCACCATTAGTACCGCTCGTATCAGTTTCCATAGCGTTACGCTGAATGATTAAAATTGTATACTATTAGGTAAAACGTAAACAATTAATGTCAAATTTCACAGAAATTATTACTACCTGCTTAATAGTTGATTAAAATTTCTACATTTTCAGAATAAGTTCGACTGGTTAACAATGGTGACGGCCAACGTAAACGATAGCAACACTTACACGCCAACTGTAGTGGCCCAAATCCGATACTTATTGCAATGGTTTGGCGAATGGAGCGAAATGGAACGAGGTGACTTTTTGCCAGTGCTAGTGCAAGGATTTGGTGCCAACAACGGTTCAGTCAATGGTCTGTTACCGTTAATGGAAAGCCTTTGCACCCAAGACGGGCGTCCGTTGAGCTTGTTCAAGTGTCGTATAAAATTATTCACTGAATGGGTACAATCATGGTCCGATGACGACAAGGAGAGTTTTTTAAATGGTATCAGATCCATGGATACAGACTTTGCGCAACTTTACGAACAAAAAGTTTGTAGCTATGCGTCTGACAACAAGGAGCACTGGAATGGTCTTAACGGCGATCAACTTCATGATGTGATTGAATAAAAACATAGGTTTGACAATTCTTTTTACTTTTTCTATTCTTTGGTATAAGTACTATTTTTTATTTAGAAATAAATTGTTTAAGATTTTTACTATATTGATTCTGTTGTTTGTGTACTTCCGTGTTTTCTTATTATTTTATACATTACTTATTTGTTCTTTTAATTATATTATAAAACAAATAAAAAGAGCTGATAGTAAGTCTTAACAACAACTAGGTATGAATAAGATTAATTTTTTTTAACAGATTGCTGATGAGCTGATTTTTTTTACCAAACGTTCAAAGTAGTTGAAATAAATTATAATATAATACGAAAAAATGATTGTATCTTATGACATATTTAATTACATTTTAAAATTAAGGTTAAATTTGATAGATAGTAATGTAATATTGCCAAATTGAATTGTAGCTTATTATTTAGAAAATATCTTAAATAACACTGTAAAATAATTTACCACGTTTGTTTTTTTCTTAATCTATAACAATTATAAAATATGTAATAGTAAAACCAGCTAAAAGAAAGAACTTCGTATTACATGTCTCTATTTCCCCATAGACCTTTATTTAAAGTAGAGAAATTTCCATCATTATTAAATGTTTTAAACATGAAAATTGTTGTACTTAAACAATTGAAATTCAGTATTTTAACAATTAAACAGTAAGTCAAATTTATCCTTAATGAATAAATTCAAATTTTTTGCAAATCCCAGTATATAAAATAATAACTTTAATAATTGTATGTAAATTGAATATTTTGTTTTAAACAAATCGGCTATAATATTAAATTTACTTGATCCTACATTTATAAATTGTCAACTGATTTTTGACTTATTTACAGGAACATTGTGTATTTAATCCATAAATGCATGTATATTTTTAAATATTAAGCCATTATATTATAATGCCATCATTAAGATGTATAAACTACAAGCGGTCTTGTCTTGAGTTTATTCTTCTATAAATTATAATTTAATTATATAATATGTTTAAGCAACTGTTAATAATATAAAATAATATAATAACTATTAATATTTATGATCCTTATTAGTAATAGTATTTGTATCAAATTTATAACTTATATTTAATAGTTATTCGTTCCATTATTAATTAGTTTTCAATTGAAATGTGGTTAATGCAATAATAGCTATTGTACTATACCTATTGTATGTACAATAAAAAATTAAAATTTTTAAACATGTTTATCCTTTGATTGATCACACTTTCAAAAAGGTCTTTTTGACCCCGTGTAATCAAATAAAGGCTCATTACACTGTGCTTATTTATCCAATGTACATGTAATAGCATACAAAATTGTATATGACTAGAATAAAACAAACCATTGTTAAATAGCTTTCTCGTCTACTATTGAAAAAGAACCTATATTATATAGTATTATTAGAAACATAACAGTATTACTTATTATGTAATTTTTTTAGTTGTATAATATAGTTTATAATAATTATAAATAATATGTGTGTAAAATAAACCGTAGGCTCAATATTTATGCTATGCAATCATTAAATGTTTAAAAATAATAATTTTATTTAGTACTTATTTTATTACTATAAATGTAATACAAATTACATAGGTTAACACAGTATTGTTTTAATTATTAAATTTAATTGACTGAAAACTATACTTATTGAATAAATTATAATATTATAATGACTAAAATAGTTATTGTTTATTTAATTATTATTGTGAATTTTTTTTTTTTTGTATAGCCTTATTATAATCGTAATTTCATTAAAGTTATAAGTTTAAAAATATATTCATTTTGTCTCAAAATAATGTATTACTGTATAGTAATAGACTTGGAACATTTTTTGTTCCCAAATCATTCCTTTAATTATAATATAGAACTACACTTATATAATGGGACACAAAATGTGTTATTAATTGTTAAATTAATGTAACTTTACAAACAAATCACAATAGTATTAATTACTAGAGGTATAGTGTATACATGATGACATATTGACATGGGTTGTACACACTATAAATTATTATTTTTGACTAAAATTTAATGGGCTATTCACGGATAGCAAAATATTTAATGATTCTCCTTATACTTGTAAAAGTATGAATACTTTATTATAACTAAATATAATTGAGTAGTGACACTAAATTAATCAAGCAATATAAAATTAATATTATTATGAATTCCATAAATGTTTTTATAAATGAGTACCACCTTGTTTAGATAGCTAATCTATAATCTAAAATATAAAAAACTGTTACCATTTAACATTTCAACTTGTGTGTTAACAATAACAAAAAAAATATTTACATAAATTAGTGTACTTGATCAAACTGCAGTTCATTAATATTAGTATTATTTGTATGTGAACGATTGAGAAAATTATGAACGACTATTGACAGTTTATTTTAACTATAAATGTATACTATGATAGTAAACTTAATAAGTTGGTACAGTTATTAATATTAACGATTCGATGGTAATAATTTATAATAAATCAATTTTACAGTTATATAATGGCCGACCTTTAATGCTTGATAGACAGATAAGCATAATATTTTATGAACAGTTTTACACTACACTATACTGTAAAAATATGTGCAACTGCAGTACCACTTTGATTAGACGACATGACAATGTTCTATTTAATAATTTTATTTACAAAAACATAAGCCATATATATTTATATGAACGAGTTATTTTTAAAAGCTATATTTTTTTCATTAATAATGGACACCCAGAATCAATCTAAAAACACTAGTGAGTAACACACATTTTAACATAAATGATTTAATGTTTTTAATATTGTTATTGAAAATTGTTTTTACATTACAACGTTACAACTTTCCTACATGACTTAATAGTAGGGTACCTAGTTATATGTTGGCACTTGGCAGTCCACTGTAATATTTTATAACTTGTATGTTTTATTTGTTAATTGTTGATAGTATATTACATATATTACATTATAGGTACTGATCAACAGTTATCCTATAATACTACATATAAGAATCCATTTTTGATCAAATAAGTAAAAAACAAAAAAAACCCAATTAACGACTTAAATATTCATATGAATAAATGAAAGTAATATAAATTTCGTCTTCAAAATTGTCCAAACACTAAAACATTTTTAAAATTAAATTTTAAAAAAAATTACGAAAATTCACTTATACGAGGAAGTTTTTTCTATAGAGAAATAACCGTTGTCTATAGGTTTACCTACTGAATATTATTTGAATTTATTTATTAGTGATCCGTGTGCGAGTATCTAGAATAGACATTCGAATGAAGATGGTTAAAAAGGATGTTATGAATGATAGAGGTATATGTACTTAGTAAAGAATTTAAGTGTCTTTATTTGTAGGGCCAAAATAAAATTTTATAGACGTATCGTACGTGTCACCCAAAAATTAAGAACAAATTGACCATGGTTTTTTTTTTTAATAACTAAATTACCTTCTAATAACTTTTTTAAAGATCAAACATTTGAAAGTGAACTTAACTTAAGGAAAAATATGAAAATAAAATAAGTAGACATTAAAAATTATACTTAATTTTCACTGATTAATAAAATAATGTTGATTTTTTACTGACAACACAAATTTTAGTTCAATCATTTATTTGAATTTTAATAGGCGTGTTATTCGTTATTATGTATCATATTTCTTCTTCTTCTTTACCTTATTCACCCATATGGTCTTTTCTATCCACAAATTCTATCCGCCACTTCTTTTTTATTCACTCCATGCCTATGGGGTTTTCTTTATAAACTATTTTTAGCATTCATCAACTTGTTCTGGAATAAATGTCTCTACATTCTAGTCTGTTCTCTCCTATCAATTTTACTATTTCATTTTTTTCTCCTTACTTATTACTATATTAATTATGTAGGTATTTGTTTAACAATTTGTTTTTTTCTGGGTTGTTTGTACACATTTAGTACATTTTTTGTAGCTTTAGCGCAAAGCTAAAAAGATATTGTTCTAAAATGTTATTTTTCTATTTTTTTTTCTGTACTCTCGATATTTCCTATGGCTATACCGCTGAACCGTTTTCTTTATACAACAAATCATTTGTTCGAGAGTAATTTTATCAATCGTAGTTATATTCCTATAATTCCTACCAGGGGCGTATTTATGGGGGGGCTGAGGGGGCTTCAGCCCCCCCTCCCCGAAATTCAAGGAAATTTTTTTTAAGTCTGCCTAAGCGGCATGAGCTTATACTCTTTATCTATAGGATATAAATATTGTAGAAGTTCAGTATAGTCGTTTTAAAAACAATAAATTGCTATTTATGATTTTGTTTTTATAACACAACGACTGATGTTGTTATTATTATATTTTGGGCGGCTGATCTTCGGGTGCCAATTGTCTTCAGTCTTGTGGCAAAGCGTAGGGATAGGAGTGATCATCGTCATATTATTTCGGTTTATTTCGCGATACATGCAGTGTACACTACTATTGTAGAGCTATTATAAATAAATACAAACAATTAAACATCAGTAGTATATTTTATATTGGGGAAAAAATGTCAACGACAAAAAAAAAGATTGCTATAGCCTGTATACATATATACCTACTTATATCAATAACAAATCGAACTAATCGCAGATGTTATAGAAATAATAGAATAATATTTATGTTATATAAAAATAAAGCAAAAACAAAATGTTTTTATTTGTTTTTTGTATGGTATGTTAAGAATTGGGGGGTTTGGCTTGCCAAGAAATATTATCGAATTCATAGTATATTTTACTAATAACGTGTGTAGGCGTGTGTACAGTGTTCTGTGTTCTGTGTTTCTGTTGTGTAAAATTAATTTTATTAAAATAATATAATGAAACGAACTCAGTCATTGTTAACTTTTTTTAAAAAATCTAAACAGTCAACCGATCTGGAACGAACTGTTCCATCTTTATCAAATGTTTTCCAAGATGAAGACACTGTGGCATCTGAAACAAAACAAGCCGCTTCAAGTGTAGAAGTTGTTCTCCGGTAATTAAACATATTTTAGATTCTAAGTTTGATATAGGAGCTTATATTGAGTTTAAACAAAATTTAAGTGACGAAGAAAAGGTTTCTATTTTACAAAACGTATGGACCCCTGATTGTAAGTTTGATTTCCTATATGATACTACTGGAAAATATAAACGTAAATTTCAAACTAAATGGCTTGACACTTTTAAATGGTTGGCTTATTCAAAATTAAGAGAAGGTTCTTTTTGTAAATACTGTGTATTGTTTTTTAATTCAAGTCAGGCTGGTAAGGGTTCTCATGAGCAGTTAGGCAAACTTGTTTTAAAACCCTTGACGAAATTGAAAGATGCATTGGAAGAGTTCAGAAATCACGAAAAAAATAAATATCATAAAAATTCGTTGCTTACCGCTGATAACATAAAGGCTATTTTAGATAAAAAACAATATAATATATTGGTACAATTAAATAATAAACGAAAGGATGAAATTTTAAAAAATCGCGAAAAACTTAAACCAATTATTCAAACAGTTAGATTATGTGGCAGACAGCAAATAGCGTTAAGGGGACATGAGGATTCTGGTCGAATCTCTTTAGAAGAACCAAAAAATAACGATGGTAATTTCCGTTGTTTGCTTCGATATCGCGCAAAAAATGGTGATAACGTATTAAAAGAACATTTAGAAACTAGTGGTGGTAAATCTATGTATACAAGCTCACTTATACAAAATGAAATAATTAATGTGTTTGGGGAATTAATTCAATTAAAAATACTTGAAAAAGTATCAAAAACAAATTTTTATACAATACTAGCAGATGAAACCACTGACATATCTCAAGTTGAACAATTTTCCTTATGTATTCGTTATGTAGACAAGGACATTTTTTCAATTCGAGAAGATTTTCTCACATTTGTTCCCGTTCATGATTTATCTGGTGAAGGATTGGCCAACACGATTAAAGAAACTTAAAAAAAAAATGGGTTTGATTTAAGCAAAATGCGAGGCCAAGGTTATGACGGGGCAGCAGCAATGCGTGGTCGTTTTAGAGGTGTTCAGGCAATCATTAAAGATATGTACCCAAAAGCATTATACACACACTGTGTAGCACATTCATTAAATCTTTGCTTATCAGATGCGTCTAAATCTCTAGATATTCGAAATGCTTTTGGTATAATAAGTGAATGTTGCTCATTTTTTAACTGTTCGGCAAAACGAACTACAGTCCTTAAAAATAAAATACTAGAAATTAAACCAAATTCACAATCCACTAAATTAAAATCTTTATGTGAAACTCGATGGGTATTACGCCATGAAGCAGTTATGCTTTTTAAAGAATTTTTAGAACCCATTCTTGCTGCATTAGAACAACTGCAGAATGAATGTTCTGGAACGGATTCTTCAATAAGGACTAATAGTCTTTTACATTGTATTTGTAATTTTAATTTTTTAACATCTGTTTGCGTATCTAGTAAATTATTAAGTTATACTTATAATTTATCTAAATATTTACAAAGTAAAAATATCGATCTTTTTAACGCTCTTAAACAAGTTACCCAGGTGGTTTCTGTGTTAAATACCATAAGAGAAAACGTTGATTTAAAATTTAACGATATTTATAAAGACGCCCAAGATATTGCTATAAAGTTAAATGTTGAACCAAAAATACCTCGAACATGCAGCAATCAAAAAAATAGAAGCAATGTCCCGTTTAATAATATTGAAGATTTTTACAAAAAACTATTTTTATACCGTATTTGGACGATTTAATAATGGCATTACATGAAAGATTTTTACCTCATAACGAAACTATAATTTCATTACAATTTGTCTTACCTCGTATCATAGTTGAAAAACCATTTTTTAATTTAAAAAAAGCTGTCGAATTTTATAAAAGTGATTTACCTGGGCTAAACGACATTATAGAAGCAGAGTATGAAATTTGGCAGGCTAAATGGGAAAATATTGAAGAAAACTTAAGACCTGCAACTGCTATAGAAGCTCTAAGAGCCTGTGATCGTTTAATGTACCCTAACATATTTGAATTACTAAAAATACTAGCTATAATTCCAGTATCCACCGCTACGGCTGAACGCAGCTTTTCTACTCTTAGAAGACTTAAAACATATTTAAGAAATACAACATCTGAGTCCAGGCTAGTAGGACTAGCACTTTTATCCATTCACCAAGACATTGATGTAAATGATGATATGGTATTAGACAAATTTGCCAACAGTGGTAAAGAGAGAAATTTGAATTTAATATAATTTGTTTTACTATTATTATAATTAGTATTAATAAGTATTAATAAGAATTATAATTTCTATTTTATTATATAATATTTTGTAAGACTTGAGATTGTGTAACTAATAATAATTATATCAGAATTATAATATTACAATTTTACACTTAATTTCGAAGTCTTGTTTTTAATAGGTTGAGAAATGGGTAAGTTTGGCCAAATTTTTAAAGTTTATTTCTGGATCAGAATTTAGAAATAACTCTTTACACAGCTCTTTTACTCAATGCCTCAGCCCCCCCCCCCCCAAAAAAAATATCTAAATACGCCCCTGATTCCTACACCCCTGTGACCACATCGAGTCCTTATGCTTCGTCTCCACTATTGACTATGCTGCGTCATCACTGCTGATTTTTTTTATTTGTTGGACTTCGCCTTTCGGTAAGGATTATTTTAGTTTAACTCGAAATTTATAAATATCCCTTGTTAGTTGCTATTAACACATATTAGATATAAAGATTTCAAAAGATTATAAAACTATTAATTATTTTATCAAATCTGTTGTATTACTCGCATTTAACCGTCGTTAAACGGTAGCGGCCAGCAGGTAGACCCAAGATGAAATGTGGATAGACTACGCATTTTTGTTTTTATTATTCAGAATTTTAATGATAAGTGAATAGAGATACTGTTATCAACTACTGCATTTATTTAATTGATAAGAAAGCCAAGTCCAAGGTCCACCTTGGCTAAATCATTATATATTTATTAATTCAGTGGCCAGGCTAAATTAAAATAATATTACTAATTATTACTATATAAGACTATGGAACGCTCAACATAAATATTAAAAATATGAATATTTATGTTTCGAAGTTTCCCGTATTCTGTACCATCACAAAATAATAAAAAAAATTAACAATAAATGTATTTTATCATGTTCTGTATTTAGCTGAATATTAAAATTAAAATTAAATAATAAGTTTTTAATTATATTCATAACGTAATATTTAATATTCTGACATACATTTTTGCTTAGTCATTGGGCACTTTTACTGCTTTGCTATTGTATGAATAATCCGAGTTCTGCTCCAACTATAAAAATGGGTAATACTATTTAATTAATTAATAATTATTTGATATATTTATTATAATGTATAAAACAATGGTAGTATTTAACAATATTGTATTTAATGTATATCTTTGACTTGGGTCAGGAAGAGCTTATTTCATTTCTGGGCAGAAATAACAACAACTTGTAAACTAAAATACATTATACATTGTCCCCCATAACATTTGGTAAAATTGTTCTTATGGAAAAAAAACTTAATAGTTACATAGTGCCAAAGGGCCAAGTGAGATCTACATATACAGGTACTTAAATACAATATTGGTACATTAAAAACAAATGTGTTGTTTCCATTTTTAATTTGAGTTTTGCATATATTATCAACACCTTACATTAAAGGTTAGAAAATAGTATTGAATGGACATAGCACAAGTGTGCCCTAGTTATAGATATTAGATATATCACCTAGATATAGACACTGTACTTAAGACTCTCAGCGTTGCAGTAAACAACAGTAATAGATTTTGTATCGATACAAAAACAATGAAATATAATTTATATTAAAATAAGAATATATACTTTTCTATAATGATCAAGATAATTAATAAACAGAAATTTGATAAAACAATTATTTTTCTACTATAGCCCTTTTATTTTAGATGCATACCCATTCTATTAAAACCACTATGACGCGCTGTTTTCTGGTAGCTGCATAGAGTTTAACGTCTATAGCATATTTTTTTATAGGGTAGTTACCCAATAAAAGAGAAAAAATGTTGAGTATAAATATTTATGTTTATTTAATGTATGAAATATATACATTAAACATTTTTACCATAAACTAAATAACAACAGATAGCAAGTGAGTAATATTGAATTAATTATTAATATTTTTTTTTATAGTTAACAAGAAAAATATATTATATGGACCTGCTATTCCAAAACATATCTTGGAGAGTAAATCAAATCTAAGCCAATATTTTATTCGACTTCTTGGTCAACATGGAAATAGAATTGCAATGGTATATATGATAAAATTAATCATTGAAGGAATGTTGGTGTATTCGTTTTAAATTATATTACAGGTTGATGTTCACGACAACTCCGAAGTTACTTTTAATGGTATTTTGAACACAAGCCTCAATATTGCAAGTTGGTTAAAATATGAATGTGGAGTACAAAAATCCAATGTTGTTGGAATATTCAGTGAAAATACTATTTGGTATCCAGCTATAATGTTAGCTGTATGGCATGTCGGCGGTATTTGTGCATTATTTAACCCGAGTTACAATAAACGTAAATAGTCTACCTAATCAAATAACATAAATGTTTTTTTCTAATTTCTGACACATGTGTTTAATTTAGAGGAACTATTACATGTGCTTAATATTTCCAAACCTAAAATTATGATTACTTCTAAGAGTGGTTTAAATGCAGTCAGACAAGCTACCAATGAAATAGATTGTGTTAAGTACATTTGTCCTATTGATACAATTATAAACTTAAAAAACACCAGTGTAACAAGTTCATTTGTACCCGTTAATTATGATAATAGTCATACTTGTGTATTATTGTGTTCAAGTGGAACTACAGGCCTACCAAAATGTGTTGAATTAACACATAAGACTATGCTATTAATGACTGACGTTCTTAAGTATGTAAACTGATATTAATTTAGTATACATTTTTAAAAAAAAGTGCTATAAAGTTTAGTAAAACCTAATATATTTAAGAACATTTTGTTCTTTAATTTTTGCATTATTAAAACTACTTTTATAGTAAGATACATATTTATTTCTGATGACAAATTTTATCAAATACTTATCTATTTATATTTTTTCAGCTATATGAAATCATTTGTAAACGAAAAGGACGTTTTGATGGGCTTAGTTCCTATGTACCATGGTTATGGAGTACTGGTAATGAATTTGTGCATGTCGATTGGTAGCAAGACTATTCTGATTAAATTCTTTGAGGGAAACTTATATTTAAAATCCATCGAAGACTATAAAGTGATTTTTTTAGATTTAATATATAGTTTTTAACCCACTTACATCCAAAATTAATTTAACTATTATTTAGATTACAGTTTTGTTTGCGGTTCCGCCATTAATGGTGTATCTTGCAAAAAGTCCATTAGTGAATAAATACAATCTGTCCAGTATACGTGTAATTTATTCAGGAGCTGCTCCGTTATCTCAGGATATAGAAATAGAAGTTGCTAAGAAAATAGGCAAAGGTAAATCTATAGAGGTTCAACAAGGATATGGAATGACAGAATTGTCGATTTTGGCAACGTGTGCTGATGGAAGTAATGCTAATAATAAACCCTTACCCGGTGCAGTAGGCAACGTAATGTACGGCATGTTAGCTAAGGTATAACAGACTATTAGATCTTAATATTAGAAAATAATAGTATTTTTGTTATGTCTAAAGGTTATTGATTTGGATACTGGCAAACCGTTAGGCCCTTTTAAAAGTGGGGAGCTTTGTTTTAAAGGCCCAATGGTAATGAAAGGTTACTATAACAATTCCGAAGAAACTTCAAATATAATTGACCAAGAAGGTTGGTTGCATACTGGTGACGTTGGATACTATGACAAATACTACAATTTTTACATTGTAGATAGAATTAAAGAGCTAATTAAGTATAAAGGATATCAGGTAAAGACTTATACATTTATAGAGTAGGGGTGTGCAAACTTTTCTTTTAATCAAAGCTGGTTTATTAATTATTGTATTGTATGAAGAGAAAAAACATGCGTGTACTTATTATTCGTTTTTAGTTTTGATGCGAAGGTGAGATATCTTCTTATTTGCGGACTCATTTCTACCTCATTCTAGGATTTCTTCCCTAGAAGAGTAGAAGCTTGTGATTTTAGTAATTTTAGGTGTAGTCTTAGTGCTCAAGGTTTGAAAATTTAACTGAAGTAGGCTCGAAATATATACACGTTTTTCAAAAATCTGATTAAACTTTTTTTTATTAGAAAAAATCTGGCAAAAAAAAAATTAAAAAAATTAATATTAAAAATTTGATACCTAATATTTACTTATTGAGATTTTAGCTTTGTAACGTAGCTGAGAAGGCATATTGTTTTTTTTTTTGTGTGTGTTTGGACCTACGATATCTTCTAAGTCACTGAACCTATTTCTCCGTTTATTAGTTACAAATTTCTGCGGTATATTCTTAAGAAAATGTTACAACAACCACTTCTAAGGTGTAAAGTAAAGGCAATTTTTCCCAAAATCTTAATTTAGAGCTTGGACTGTAGTGTATACTAATCAATACATTAATGAAGATCCTTTATTGATTGCTATTTTTGTTTCGTCAGTATTGATATCTTTATTCTTTATAGCTAAAATATCGTCTATATACCAAATTTTTGGAAAATTATTACTACTGTTTTTAATTTTTATCTTAAATCTACTAATGAACTCTTTATAAAATCTACTCATGATGACTTCTGTCAAAAAAGTAATAATTTTAAATCTTTATTAGATAGTACTAAAAATAAAATAGGGGAAAATCTGGGATTTATAAAATACAGTGTGAAGAATGCGATTATTGCTATATAGGTCAGTCGCTAGACAAAACAAAATATTAGGGTTAGGTTTAAACAATGCATAAGGAACATAAAAAACCAAGAATCACACAAATCTCCTGTTGTGGATCATTTATTGAATACGTCATAGCATAAAATCAGTAAAATTACTTAAAATTGTTAAATAATTAAAAATAAACCTAATATTAAGGAGGCGATAGAAATGTTGAAAAATAAAAACAATTTGTAAATTGGAATGAGTCCATTACAAAACATTTTAAAAACACGTGTTCGCAATTATTATTCCTGGTATGACAACGCTGTATAGGTCTACAAGGAGGTGTTTGGCGGTAATCAGTCTCATAGTCTGTTGTGTATAGAGTATTTTTGTGGTTAAGGGCTTATTTAAATATTTAATTATTTTACTATAGTTTGCCTAGGCTATTAAAGCAGTATCCTGTGTTGTCTATAATTATTATATAGTAATATGTTTATTTGTTAAACAGGTTGCCCCAGCAGAATTGGAATCAGTTTTATTGACTCATCCCGATATTGAAGACGCTGCTGTAACTGGACTACCTAATCCTATAGCTGGCGAATTACCGATTGCGTTTGTGGTCAAGGCTAAAGACTCAAAACTTGGTGAAATGGATGTTGTAGAATTCATTAATAGTTGCGTCACTAATATATTTTATACAATACTAAACTACTTAAAATGGCATGAACTATAAATTTATTTGAATTTTTCTATTATGTTTATTAGAACAAGTGTCATCACAAAAACGTCTTAGAGGAGGTGTACGATTTGTAGATGTCATCCCTAAAAATCCAAGTGGTAAAATATTACGAAAGGTTCTTAAAAGTATGCTTAACAAATCAAAAATTTAAGCATAATTCATTGAGTTGTAAAGTGTGCTTTAATTAGTTTTAACTTAAATGTTATGTTTAAAATTAACAAATGGCATTCCAAGTGAGTTTTGATGTGGTGGCTTTTTGTTAATTATAATACAATTTATTTATAATTTTATTATTGTGTTTTGGAATTAAATGTATTGAAGCTAGGTGTATTTTGTTTGTTTTAACAATGAATAAATGTTTATCTAATTTTAATTTTTAAATATTTTTATCCAATCGCATTATATATTAAACGAATGATTTTTTACCTAGCAGGTATAAAAATATTTACCTTGAATGAAATGTCTCCTGACTTAGCTGAAATACTACATTTTTTCTTAATGTTTTAAAGCTTAAGACGCTTGAAGTCTTACAGATTGTAAATAGATTGATCTGACATTTTGTCTGAAATCTTAGGCAGCTTCATATCTCATTCGATGGTAGACATTCTTCCTGTTGAATAGGTAAGTTTTTACTTTCTAAGAATAAGTAATTACAGTAACCCTGTTACATCAGGGTTTAATAAACAAATATGTTCTATATGTATATAATTTTATTGTCAATCTGCCTAAAGTATTATAAAATATAGGGTGCTACCTAGTTCCGACCACATTTCTTCTTCACTTTTCAGTCTGCTTAACAAATAATTTATAAAATGATTTATTCTTAAGTGGTGTTGTATACTTAATTGTTGAAGAATACAACTCAACTTTAGGATTGATAAAAGACGTTTATTATGAAACGCTATAACAGCAATGACAAGAAATTATTTTCAATATTAGCGTACGCCGTGAAAAGTCCCCACTGCGTACACATTAATTAGTGTTATCTGAATAACCATATTAAAAATATAACAATATAACAATATACAACACCTCTCCCCTTACATTTAATTACAATTATTTACAATTATTTATAAGACATTTTAATCATGATTGAGAAGGTGTGCGAATAAAATGAACAAAGATACAACTAAAAACAATGCTATCTCTTTGTATAGTAATTTACACATAATTAATACCTAAGAATAACAAGGCTCGTGCTTATAACTAATTTAAACGAAAAATAACAATAATCGTTTTATTTTCTAAAATCTAACGACTTATAGCGATCAGGCGATCTCCTGACTCTAACCAGGCGAGAATGTCCAGTCGAGCTAGTCATAATTCTCCCGTCTACGTCATCCTCGACCACCTCCTGATCTTGTACCTCCCTTGGTTCAAACGAACTATCATGACCTTCGTCTTCGGGTACCCCCTGGTCCCTATTTGGTATTTTAATGGTTTGGTCTATGTGCCGCTTCCACGTGCCCGCCTCGGTATCTGCCTCGAACACGTGTTTACCCACGGTGTTTGATACTGTCCCCATTGACCACTTGTTATCCCCCCTTCGGTAATCGCGTACGGCCACTGTGTCTCCCTGCCTAATTTCGAGCTGCCGTTTGCCGTGACGTTTCACTTGGGAATTCTGATGATCTATAACCACGTGTATTGCGATAAAATAATAGACATTTTTGCAATAGTGTAGTACTGGTGGCTTTATTTTTCTTAAAAAAATGTTTAAGTAATTTGACCCCGGATTCGGCTGATCCGTTCGTTTGAGGATGAAACGGGGCCCCTACCAAATGCTTAATGCCGCCGATGGCGCAAAACGTACTGAATTCCGTTCCAGTGAAACACTTAGCTCCATCGGAAGTAATAACCTTAGGGACTCCAAAACGTGCAAAAAGTTCTTGCATTTTTAAAATAACAATTGTCGCCGTACATGTGCTTACCTCGAACACTTCGAGCCATTTCGAAGTCGCGTCTACTATGACTAAAAAAAATGTATTTTTGTAAGGTCCTAAAAAGTCTACATGTAGGCGCGTCCACACGTGTTCCGGCCACTTCCATGGCGTTAGCACTGCCTTCGGCGGTGCGGGTCTAACCTGCATACAACTTTCGCAATTGCGTGCCATATTCTCGATGTCGCTATCGATCTTAGGCCACCAAAAATAAGAACGCGCGATCGCCTTCATACAACTCATCCCCACATGCGTAGAGTGCAATTCTGCTAATAGGGTCACCCGGAATTTACTTGGTATAATTACCCTGTACCCCCACATCAAACAGTCCTGTTCGGTCGAGATTTCGTGACGACGCGCGTATTACGGTTTAAGCAGCTCGTTTTTATCCGCGTGTATGGGCCACTCACCAATGTTGATAGCCTAAATTACCTGAGATAAGGTTTTATCGACTCGTGTTTGTGTTTTTATTTTGACCCAATTAACGTTAAACGGGCAATCGTCATAAATAAAATTAAGACACCGCGGCGTCGTTAATTCTTTATCTGCCGTGCCTATTCTAATGCGCGATAAGTAATCCGCCGCGTTTTTCTCAGATTTAACGTACGAAATGTCAAAATCGAATGCTGTTAGTACATACGCCCACCTTTGGAGTCTATTTGCCGCGTAAACCGGTATACCTTTCTTTTCCCCAAAAATGTGGTAGAGCTGTTTGTGATTGGTAACTAGGGTAAATCTGCGTGCGTACAAGTAGTCGTAAAACTTTTGAACGCCGTATATAATTGCTAATCCCTCTTTTTCGATTTGCGGGTATTTACGTTCCCTTCTGACAACACACGCGAAGCATAAGCTACTGGTTTTTCAGCGTTGCCGTATACCTGTGCGATTACCGCGCCGACCGCAATCGAACTTGCGTCCACCATTAATTTAATTGGTACCGACGGATCGTAGTGGTCAAGTACGGGCTTAGACGACAATATTGATTTGATATTATCAAACGCGTCGCCCGCTTCTTTGGACCAAGACCATTTTGCCCCCGCTTTTAAAAGGTCGTACAATGGTTTTAGAATCCGTGCCGCGTTTTTAACGAATTTAGTATAATATGTTACCAACCCGAGGAAGCTTTTTAATTCGGACCGGTTCTGAGGCGCCGCTGCCCCCTTAATCGCGGTTGTGTGTTTATCTAAGGTATGCAAACCTTGTCTGTCTATTTTATGACCTAGATATTCTACCGCTGTCTGCAAAAAACTACACTTACGCTCTCTTTTAGCTTTTAGCCCTGCTGAGCCGAGTGCTTTTAAAAGTTGGTCCAAACGTGCGTTGTGTTCAGGCACCGTTTTACCCGATACTATGATATCATCAATGAACACTTCCACTCCCTCTATTTTTTTTGTGATACTTTCAATTGCTTTCTGAAATTCACCCGCCGATGATTTTAAACCGAACGGAACGCGTGTGTACCTAAATAAACCTTTAATCGTATTTATGGTCGTTAACGCGCGTGAATTATCGTCGAGTACCAACTGCTGATAAGCGTCCTTCAAGTCTATTTTAGAAAAATATCTCGCGCCCGCTATTCTGGCGTAAAGGTGTTCTATCTTGGGCAGGGGATATTCCGTACTGATTAACACGGGATTTATGGTAATTTTAAAGTCTCCGCACAGCCTGACACTACCGTCCCCTTTCAATATTGGAACTACGAGAGTTGCCCATTCACTGTGGTCGACGGGTATCAGAGCGTTGATAGACAACAGTCGTTCTATCTCGGTTTCAACTTTTCCCCTTAATGCTAAAGGAACTAGACGATGTTTAAAAAACTTTGGCGTGATCCCCGGTTTTACTTTTAGTGATATTTTGTATCCATTAAAAATCCCCAGCTTCTCACTGAACACGTTTGGATACTTTTTTAAAACCGTTTCAACGCTATCCTCTGCGCCGGTAAAATTACACTTTAAGTTTAACACGTTATTAATACCGAGCGTTGATAAATCATTTCTACCGAGTAACGGTGGTCCCCCGTTTTAAACAATATACACCCATATGTCGGCTTTTTTATTGTTATACGTGACGGTGAGCGCTACCTTACCTATCGGTGTGATTCTATTGCCGACGTAATCTGATAACTCGACGTCGTTAGTGACAATTACCTTTGGACCTATTAATGATTTAAACGTCGATTCGGAAATAATACTGTGCACAGAACCGGTATCAATTTCAAAGGTTATAGCCTATAGGTTTACCTTCGACAGCTAAATTAATTTGATACGCGGCTACTTTAAGCTTATCTCAGGAAATATCATTAAGTACAAAAAAAGAATCGATTAAATCTACGCAAGAATCGTGATCGCCTGACCGCTCCTTTACCGTTAAAAACTTATATTGCGCCTTATACTTAGTACCTTTATTTTGTGTACCCCTAGCTTTGCACATAGGGGCCAAATGACCTACTACCCCGCTACCCACATTACAAGAATAATGTTTAAACCTGCATGATCCGGTGTCGTGGTTGGAACGGCCGCATACTTGACACTTCCCTTTCCCGTTGGCTTGGTTACTCGTGGCCCCATTCTGGTGATGTCCACTTGTCAGCTTAACTCCATTTCGCTTCGGTGTCGTGTATACTTGACTCCCTTTCTGTTTGGTGAAGTGGAGCGCACTGGTCGTTTCCCTTGACCACTCTTTACTCGCGTTGATGTTGGCCTCCTTCGTGGTCGCCACCTCCATCAGCTTAACCAGCGTGGTTGATGCTACTGACGCATCCTCTTCCAGTAATCGATCCTGGATCTTGCCGGATCCCATTCCAACAACGAATACGTCTCGCACTACTACCTCCAGCTCTGGCCCAAAACCGCATTTAGACGCAAGTTTGCGTACGCGAGCGCCCCACTGGACCACACTTTCATCGTGGTTTTTACGAGCTAGGTAAAACTGGTGGCGGGCGGCAAAATACAATTTTTTTTGCCTCATAGTATGACCGATAACGACTCAAAAGTCTTACCGTCGGGGTCCTCGGGCTAACACAGACTGAACAGAATTTTATGCACTTCCTCCGAAATCGAGGATAGCAAAATTGCCCTCTTCTTACTCTCCTTTGTGATGCCGTTGGCGGCGAAAAAGTTCTTTAGCCGAGCGAAATATATCTTTACATTCGTCTCTTGATCGAAAATCCCCGGAGTGCCGTTGACTTGCGAGTAGATGGTCCTTACTGACGTCGATGGTGCTCCGTCGTTGGGTGATGATTGTGTCATGTTTAACGAGTTCGGTTTTTTTTTAATATTTTTCACTAACAATATGTATATAAAATATGTTATATACTAGCAACAAACAAAAAAAAAAATTTAAATCTTCGTCTACAATTTGTTGTATACCTAATTGTTGAAGTATACAACTCAACTTTAGGATTAATAAATGACGTTTATTATGAAACGCTATA